AAGGGTAACTTACTAAATAGGAGCAATTAAAGTATTATAGCTAGCTAACTAATAGTAGGTTTATATTAATAGTAAGTTAAGGATTAAAAACTATAAATAGTATTAAGTTATTCTATAGGGCTATTTAAGTAATTATAGGTCTTTAAAGGTCTTAGTAATTAGTTAAGGCCTTAATAAGAGTTATAAAGTAGTTATTACTTAGGTATAACTAAAAGTACTAATAAGGGTAGTTATAAAGTTAATTACTAAAGAGCTATAGAAGTCTATCCTTAAGCTAGACTTAAGTCTATCCTATATATAAGTCCTAGATACTTCTCTTCCTATATAGACCGCAATCTAAGAGTTAGTCCTCCTTAAGGACCGCCCTTAGCACGTTAGTCCTGATCCTTATCCTGGTCCTAGGACCGCTTATCGAAAGTCAGTCCTACTTATTATCACGTGACTTATACTATAGTTCTTCCGTTCCGGGCGAGCCCCTCATGTTCCCATGATCCTACATACAAAGGTGACGTTCTAACCGCCCGGTATCCTTATGGGGCGTTCTTTGTTGGTTATGCCTAACGGGTCGTAACAATAGTATATACCTTCTCTACTAAAATATTAAGATAAAATAACTAAGTAATAAGTTAGACTTTAAGAAACTTAGACCTTTTAAGATTATAAAGAAGGTATCTAACGTTAACTTTAAACTTATACTACTAAATACTATAAAGTATTATTTAGTCTTTTATATTTCACTTCTTAAAAAAGTACTAGTAGGTTTATATATAGAAGACTATATTATTATAGAACTACTAGAACTAGAATATAAAGTTAAATAAATTATTAACTACTATAAAAATAATAGAAATATAGAATACCTCATTAAATAGAAGGGGTATAGACATAAAGACAACTTATAGGAACCTATTAAGAACCTCCAGCACTCCCAGCAGCTACTACAGGAGTATCACTAAGCAAAGGACCTAAGTCCACAAACTCCTCCCTAATCCCAAACTCAGTCTAGGAAGGGTTATTCTTAATACCTCTAGCCTAAAGATCCTCTATAATATATTACTTATAAGTATCTAATATAGGAAGAACGTTATTAGCCTCCTTAAGTTCCTATATCCCCTAAGTAAACGTCTCTATATAACGCTCCTTAATTAACTTCTAAGTTATATAAATATAAGCTAAATAACTAGCTATATTAGCTACCTCTAATTATATTTAAGTAAGCTTCTTATAGAGCGCTAGTAGAGTATTACTAGCCTGCTCCTCTTTTTCCTCCTACTCTTAATACTAGTTATTAAGACGCTTTACTATAATAAGTTAGAAGTAGCCTATAAAGAAAGATATAATAGGACTTATAGCTTAATATAATAACTAGTCTATTATAAAGACGCTTTAAATTCTTATACCTATAATAGACCTTTAAACCCTCTACTATATAATAAGGACGCTTTATCTAGAAATAGTAAGTATAAGGCATAATATTAGAAGAACTAAAGCGCTTAAATATATTATTATAAGTAGAATAAAGAATAGATTTTAAATCTTTTGATTTTTAAATATAACCTAATATAGTATTAGCATTATAGAGATTAGGAAGTATAATTAACGCCTCCCCAACCTAAGAGATACTACCTACTTATATTAGTCTAAGGGATTAGACCTTTAAAGAGGGGACCTAATATTATAACCTATTAGGTATAACTAATAAAGGATGCCCTATTAGGATATTAGGTAGTTATAATAATATATTTATATATAGGATCATGGGAATATATAAGGATCCCTTAGGAATGGAAGAACTATAGTATAAGTTATATAATAATAAGATAAGAGATTAGATCTATATAATCAAGATATAGTATCTATATTCCAGAAAGACGGAAGCCATATGCCAAGGATATGGGAGCCATATAGGGCATATATAGCACCCAGCAATAGGACTACCCAGGACCTATATATAGGATAGACTTAAGTCCGCTTAAGGACAAACTTCTATAGCTCTTCAGCAATTAACTTATAATTCTCACCTAAGACTCTTAGCTATACCTAAGTGATAATTACTCTATAACTCTTATTGAGGACTTAACTGATCACTAAGCCCTTTAAAGACCTATAATTACTCAACCTAACTTATAGAATAATAAATAACTATTACTATTATTATTACCTAACTTACTATTAATATAAAACCCACTATTAGTTAGCTGGCCGTAATAATTAGTAAGTTAAGCTAAACTTAAAGTAAGTTAAATATATAATTTAAATTATAATATAGTACCTAAAGGCCTTATTAAGTATATATATATATCTTAAGTTAGAAAATAGCTCTATTAGAAAAACTCAATCTATAGTTTTAATTAGCTAAGCCTTAGTATACTTTAACTTAATAAGGAATAACTAGAAATCTTTATATTAATTAGCTCTTATTATTTTATATCTATACTATAAGCTACTATTATAGCTTTATATTATTATATTAACAGTATACTATATATATAATAGCCTATAAGTTAGGCTTATTATATAAATATATTAAGGGTTTAAACTTATATTATAAGTTATATACCCCTACTATATATAGCTCTATAATATATATAGTATAATTCTAATAAAAAGTAGTATTAATAATAGGATTTAAACCTATATATATAGCGTTAAAAAGAGATATATATACTAGGCTGCTAGACTATATAGCCTACTAGTAATTAAAAATATATATAGTTAGTTCTATATATATATATATATATATATATATATTAATTAGTTAGAGAATTAAGCCTTTTTTATTCTACTTAGCTTAGTATATATTAGCTAACTTATAATAAGTAGTATATTATTATAAGAAATAATAATATATATTTTAATAAAAGAATTTATCTTTTTAGCTTCTTAATAAAAGAATTTATTCTCTAAATTAGCTATATTAATAATACTTAGTTATATAATAATAAGCTAATTTAAATTAAAAGTATATAAATATATAGTTTAAATTATAATATTATATTTTAAAGTATTTAATCTATTTATATTTTACTTTAAGTAATTAAAATATCTTAGATTTCTAATATAAGTACTTTAGTACTTATTTTAAAATTAAATATTATACTTTTTATACTACTTTTATTTATAAAATATACTAAGTAACTAACTAGTAGTATATTATAATATAGTACTTTAGTATTTATTTTAAAATTAAATATTTATACTTTATATATTACTTCTATTTATAAAATATATTAAGTAACTAACTAGTAATATATTATAATATTATACTAAGTAATATATATTAGATTTATATATTAAACTAATATATATATGTAATTATATATAGCAACCTATTATAACTAAAGCTATTTATTTAGATATAGACCTTTATAGCTAGGATATACGTGCGATATAGGGTAAAATAGCTTCCCTAAACCTCTATAGATGTTTATTATACTATTGCTGCCCCTGCCCCATAGCTTCTCCTTCTTAACGGCATTTGCCTAGTCTCCTCCGCTCTAGTTTTGCTATTGGTGATGAAGATAGAAGAAACAAATACACCGACATTTTGGAACCGCACTAGCTCAATACCACAGGTGGGTAGTCTCTATTAAAATTCAAGCCGTTCCCAGCCTTAATCTGTAACAACATTGGGAGCAGGCCTATTGACAGCTTGACAAGTCCTTCGAACAGTAGTGGCTGAGCTAAGAAAGCCAAGGGCCCAAGCTGTGAACAAGCACATCACGTTGGCAGTTGCAGCAGTCATCCCACCTCATCCAAGGCTCTGCACAGACCGGGGTCCAGGCCCAAATGGCAGGTCACCTTACCCCCAAAACGAAGTCCAAAGGGCAATTGGGGTATTCCCCCGCATTCTCCACGTCGCGCGGTATTTTCACACACCCAGGCATCTCAAATGTTAACGTGGTAGCTATCCCACTGTTAATGTCCCATGGCCTCTTAGGAACCCCCAATAACAGTGGAACCCTGTCAGCACTAACATTCAAGATGCCAGAGGAGTGTTCGCCAAGGGCCGGAAGTCGAAGTACTTCGAAGTAGGTACCTCAGTGTTGCCTGATGGGTAGGTGGGAACAATAATAATAGGTTGGCTACCTTAGCTACCTAAAGGCAAGGAAGGTAACGGGGCGGGGACATTGAACAATGAACCTACTTTACACGGCGGGCTTTCCCTCCAGCAAACACCTTACCACACAGAACGAAGTTGAGGATGTCGCCTGAATCAGGACCCCTGACAAGCGAAACTCTAGGTAAACACCACATCGTTATTGTTCCCTCGTGCCGCAGCGCCAAGTGGGAGGAGTCATTGCACCATTACGCCCGCAGCGTCAGAATGGAGGACTGCCCACACCCAATGCCATCCAAGCTGCGGTGAAGAGTGCCATGTGCCACCCAGCATGCACCCTGCTTGGTGGCGTCCGGCCTGTTTGATATCGGCGCGGGATCCATCTATTGCTTACAGGCACTTGATTGAACAAAGCCAATTTCCAAAGAGGGACACGGCAACTTCGCTTTTAGAAGCAGAGACCCCCGCCCAAAACATCTTCACGTGTTGCCGTGGTGGACTAGCGAAGGGCAAGTGACCAGAATATACAGCGCCAACCCCAACACCACCTGCAATCCTTTGCAGCCACCATCATTAACATCAGACTAACGACAATTATCACCAACCAGACCTCAAGGAACCAACAACCAACAACCAAAAGCCAACGACACCGCAGTCCCAGCCCCCTCGCCGTCCGTTAATACGACCACCAGTACCGACCACCTGGGTCCCATCCGCGTCGCTTCGTCTCGTCCATAAGACAAAGCCTCCCCGCTCGATTCCCTGGTGTCGCCTTCTCGAACAGCCATTTGGGTGTTGACTGAAGCTCACCTTGGAGAATGGGCGTGTGATTGACTTCTATAGCATACCTGTCTCTGCCTCTTCCAGTAAAGTTGCACTCCATCACCGCCATCGCAACCGCGATTCGAGACACCGCGGCGCCAGCCCGACTGTAGCCAGCATGTCGTCCGTAACTTCATTGTTGTCGGCGACGGCCACCTCGTCTGCCGCGCCGAACTCCACGGGCGGAAACAGAGCCACTCCGCAGGGTGGTGTCATTGAGGGCGCAAACCCGTCGCATTACAACCCGAAAGATCCTATCACCATCTTCATCATCCAGGTCCGTCCCCAAGAGTCTATTTGCGAACCGCTCCCCTACGCTTTCCTCTGAGTACTGACATTGCTTGTTTGCTCAGGCCGGGTTGATTATTATCGTCTGCCACCTTCTCCACTGGCCCTTGTCCAAGATCCGACAACCTCGAGTCATCGCCGAAGTCATTGGCGGTATTATCCTCGGTCCCTCTGTCATGGGCCGCATCCCCGGCTTCAAGAACGCCATATTTCCAACAGAGTCCATTCCAAACCTTACCCTCGTTGCCAATCTCGGTTTGGTGCTGTACCTCTTCCTCATTGGCCTCGAGACAGACGTCAGCTTCCTTGTCAGCAACTGGCGTGTAGCGACGTCGGTCGCGGTCGCGGGACTAGCATTACCCTTCGCTTTGGGATGCGCACTCGCCTGGGGCTTGTATAACCAGTTCTCTGGCGATGAAGGAGTCACGCACATCAACTTCAGTGTTTATATGCTCTTCATCGGTGTAGCTATTGCCATCACGGTTTGTGGCCTTCTATTGTCATCCACCTGGCTGTATTACTGACCACACTTTTCAGGCTTTCCCTGTCCTCTGCAGAATTCTGACGGAACTGAAGCTGCTCGACACTACGGTTGGTGTCATCGTTCTTTCCGCAGGCGTAGCCAACGATGTGGTTGGTGAGTTGCGGCTCGAGTAACCCCCTCTAGACTCAGAATCTAACCATACTTTTCAGGGTGGATTCTCCTCGCCCTTTGCGTTGCCCTCGCAAACGCAGGAACCGGTCTTGCGGCCTTGTGGATCTTCCTGGCCTGTACTGGCTATACACTGGCTCTCTTCTTTGCCGTGAAACCTGCTCTTGCGTGGCTTCTGCGCCGCTCCGGGAGCATTGAGAACGGACCGTCGCAAAGCATGATCGCGCTTATCCTGCTTGTTGCCCTTGCGTCGGCCTTCTTCACGGGCATCATTGGTGTTCATGCCATTTTCGGAGGGTTTCTAGTCGGTCTCATTCTGCCGCGTGAAAATGGCTTTGCCATTAGGGTCACTGAAAAGCTGGAAGACTTGATCGGCGCTCTTTTCTTGCCGCTGTACTTCACCCTGTCTGGACTGAACACCAACCTTGGCCTTCTGAACAGCGGCATAACCTGGGGTTACGTCTTCGCCGTCACTTTCACTGCTTTCTTCACCAAAATCATCGGTGCCACCCTCGCTGCGCGGTTGAACGGCTTGGTCTGGAGAGAATCGTTTGCCATCGGGGCCCTGATGAGTTGCAAGGGTCTCGTAGAGTTGATCGTTCTGGTATGATCTTGGTCCCCCCAACTCCCGTCGAGAGGCCGTACAACTGTACATTGACACGCTAACCTGCTTTCCCAGAATATTGGCTTGCAAGCCAAAATCCTGAGCACCAGAACATTTACCATCTTCGTCGTCATGGCCCTCCTGACCACGTTTTCCACGACCCCGCTGACCTCGTTTCTGTACCCTCCATGGTACCAGAAAAAGCTCGAGGCATGGAAGCGCGGAGAAATCGACTGGGACACGGGTGAAGCCATCGCCGGCGCCGGCACCGGTGACGACACGGACACTGTCAAGCCCGCTAGTGATCGAGTCCGACGGATGTTGGTGTATCTTCGCCTCGATAACATGCCAGCGATGCTCAACCTGGTTTCCCTCTTTGGGAAGCAGACCTCGTCTGGTTCCAAGTCCAGTACCGACGAAAAGGGAAGCCTTTCCGTCGACACACCAGTTTCCGGGTCCTCTTTGAAGGACTCGCAGGCCGTCCGAGCTCATGGTTTCCGCTTGTTGCACTTGACGGATCGAGATTCTTCCGTCATGACCGTGTCCCAAGTGGCCGAGTTCACTCGCAATGACCCAGTGGTGAACATCTTCCGCACCGCTGGACAATTCCTCAAAGTCGCCGTATCTGGCGAGGTGTCGATTATGCCGGAGACCCGCTTCGCGGAAGCGCTTCTGTCAAAGTCGTCAGACATTTCATCGGATCTTTTGCTCGTTCCTTGGAGCGAGAGCGGCAGCCTGGTTGACTCACAGGTCCTCTCAGCCGACAATGCCAACTACAAGCTGGGAGCAGCGTACACAGGATTTGCCAAGTCACTTCTCGCCTCCACGGATCACAACATCGGCATCTTCTTCTCTAATATGGTTTCCTCGTCAGCCGATACCGCGCCGGAGCGCAACAGGCTGATGCGGGCGTACTCCTTCAGCGACATCCACCACGACATCCCATCGATTCCTGTCACCAACAAGTCCCATCACATCTTCATGCCGTATTTCGGCGGTAACGACGACAGGCTCGCACTCATGCTCGTACTTCAGCTTTGCGAGAAGCAGAATGCTACAGCGACGGTAGTTCATTTCAGTTCGGGAGAAGACACGGACGCTTCACGCCACGATGCCGACTACTTCGGCTTCATTTCTACCCACCTACCGGCCGTTGTGGGATCTCGCGTCAAGTTCGAAACGTCTTCTGCCAGCAACCCCGTTGACGCTGCTCTGAGCCAAGCCTCTTCCGCTATCCGAGCCGATACCCGGGATATTTCATGGCACAATCTGATTCTCTTGGGACGTCGTGTCACTGCCCAGTCCGCGCGAGGCAACATGTATGCCAACGTTTCGGGCGACATCAAGGAGTGCCTGGGCCTAGCCGCTGGTGTCTTTATTTCGTCTGGCATCAAGGCCGATTTGCTGGTGGTTCAAGCCAAGGCATAGTCGGTCTGGCGTGGACGATCCATCTGTCCAACTCTTCCATTGTGCCTGCGACTGCAAGTAAGGCTTGTGTCTGGTTGGGGCTGCCGCACACGATACAGCCTCGTGTAGGTCGCGTCGACGGTCTGCCCCTCTGTAGTTGCAGCCACAGCCACGCTGGTAGATTGGATAGGAAGCTAGGTCGACGTGCTGTGGTGTTTTGAAACGATGGCGCATTGTATATGATGACTCTACGTAATACCCATTCTATGTTATTGAAATTTACCTTCTTGCCAACTTTGTTTGCCGTTTATCTATGCGCGAGACCGGAGAAAATCAATCTCTTGCGAGCCCTACTCATAGCCGATGCTTCGCTCGCTGTGTCTACGCTCTTCCGCTTCTCAACCAGTGTCATTTACCCCTGCTCCTGTTGCGATCCCACTCGTCTCCGCGTCATTTCTTCATGAATCATGGACAAAGAAAGAAGCGCTGCCTAGATACCGACGACCAAACGCCATGCCGAAAAGAAGAAAATGTCTTACTGTGCTTGCAATGATGCCACATGCTGAGTATTATAAGGGAAAGGAGAAGTTGACTGGATCCTCGAGTTGAATGATGATGGCGAGAGATTTCCGCCATTAGCGTCGTTTGCGACCGCTTCCTTCTCTACCACCGCTCCCAGTTCGTCGGTTGACGTTATTTACCGCCGGTGTCATGACGAAATTGCGGATACCCATCTCGCAGGCCTGCCGTAAAACCTGATGGCGCTTACCGCCCTGCATGTTCGCGGCCTTGTGACCAACAAACGTGTCTACCAGAGCGGCGCCCAGGGCAGCCGTTGCAACACGGCCACCCTTCTCACCTATCCAAGGGCCGGGATCGTTGCGCATCTGATAGGCCGCCTGGCTGCCGACGCGGAAAGCGGTCTGGGCCGCTTCGCCGAGTGCGGCGTACCCGACAGCAGACTTGGCTCTTGGGCGGGCCCCGGCGGCGGCGCCGTTCACGGCGGCTTTCCTCGGCATTGACCGACCTCTGACCGAACGGCGCGGTGTGGGCTGATCTGGCGAGTGGTTTCTGTAACGGCCGCGGCCCTGAGAGGCGTAATCTTTCGGGGCAGAGCGGGGATCGGAGTCGTAGTCGGGATATCGAAAGCGACGTGATTCGCCAGTGTCACGAGGGACACCACCGTCATGATCGGCGTGGCGCGATCTTCGTCTATCGCTGACACGAGGCTCAGCGTCATAGTCGGCGTGACGGGAGCGGCGTCTGTCGCTAGGGCGCGGCTCCGGATCGTACTCGGGATATTTGGAGCGTCTAGTATCGCTCGTCCGGGGCGGGTGGTAGGCGTGTTGGCGCTCGCGACCTCGGCGAGAGGCGGGCGCGTACGCATCGAAGTCTTGGCGGTCGTCAGCGGCACGGTAGGGACCGGCGGCTGAGCGACCGTGGCTCCGGACGCGTCGGGGATAGGCGTCGTCGTCGTGGTGGCGGTCTCTGGGGGGTTTGCGGTCGGGTTTTGAGTCTAGCGGAGGAGGGTAGTCATCCGGGGCGGTGTCCTTGCGGTCCTTACGGTCCTTACGGTCCTTCCGATGCTTGCGACTCTCGCGCGACTCTTTCTCGGGCTCGGGTTCTAGGTGATGGTCGTCGTATGAAGCGACAGGGGGAGCAGCGGGCTCTGATCTGCCGCGACGACGAGGACCTGGACTGCGGCCGCGGGCGGGATACGGGTCGTCATAGGGGCCAGCAGGACGTTCATACTGGTATGGGTAGGGCGGGTATGGAGAATCCAGATCGATGTCGGTTCCTCGACGGTGAGGGCGTCCCATTCTTGAACAGGGATTGGCGTGTGTATGGGCTGAGCGGGGAGGCGAATGGAAGAGGCGAAGATGAGGGTCGGGATGTACAGATGTGGTGTTGACGAGCCTGCTAGTGGCTTGGGAGTTCAAGACCAAAGGATTAGCATGCTAAGAAGAGGAGAGCAGACGGGAATGCCATGACAGAGGAGGGAGGTCGGGTGTTGGGTATATAATAATAGGTAGGTAGGTGAAGCACAAAGGAAGTAGATGGGTGAGGCCCGGCACCTAGGAGCCTGCAGGGGTGGTTGGATGTGTTGGCTGAGGTGGTCGGTGCGGAAAGGAGGACCGTGGTGCGTAAGGTAAGGCAAGGTACCTAGATGTCCGTACCGGTCGATTAATGTGTATCATATTCGTAGTAGAGTGAAATGAAAGCCTGACGAGACCAGACCAAACCAGACAAGCAAGATCAGACCGGATGGGGTTCGACGAGGATACCGGTAGCGTCACAGGAACTCCTGCGATCGGCTGACCGCTGTCATTTTGCGGGGAGGGGGGGTTGTGGGTGGTTACGGGTCGGCGACTCCACTAACTTCCAGTGAGGTCAAGGTTAGGTCGGGGCATCCAGTCACGATGCAGCGTCCAGCCCGAGTGTTTTTGGGGTCCCGGTCCAGTCCAGTCCTGTCCAGTCCTGTCGGGTGTCGCGTGTGTGTGTCGACTTGAAGGTGGCGGAACTTGGAAGCTTCAAGATGGGACGGGACGGGACACTGGAGGGATTTTTTTCTTTCTTCGTCCACCTCACTCCAACTCTGGAAGTCATCACTGCTTCAGTGGGGTGGCAACTGCTTCCCTTTTTTCCGCATATAAGGTATCGTATCTTGTCTTCCATTTCTATGTTTCTCTCTTATGTCCTAGGGTTTCTCTTTCCTTCTCTCATCACCTGAGGTCTGATGTTGGGTCACTTCTCTTCAGGGTAACTGGCTGCCTTGAGTATTACCTACCTAAGATGGGTACCCAACCTAGGTATCAAACATACCGTAGATAATCAGACCGTTAGACCGTCACCCTAATTTAGGCAATTCGGAGAAATTCGCTGCATATGGTGTTGCAGAATGCTTGGAAGAATGGAATCGGAGCAACCGTTGGAGATTGTGGCTGGCAAGCAGGATCAGGTAGCTAACCACTCAGGCACTCAAGGGCATCTATTCGTACCTACCTACCTATTCCTCACGATATATGCAGGGTCCAGCTTATGACGTCACATGCCCGAGGAAAACCCACTCTCACCACTCACCCAATACCTAAGGTACCGGTGCATTTTCCATCCTCGCACTGCATCATTCTCCCTCCATCGCCTTGGGCTCTCCTAGTGCCGGCCGCATCATGCATGACTCGACTCGTCTTTTGGCCATCGTTGGTTGAGTCGGCATTCGCAAATACATTGGGTACCATGTCCATCGACCCAGACTAACATACCTACCTCGGGTCAGCAACCATCCAGATCGCCACAGCTCTTTCATTCGTTGCCAAGTTTGCTTCTCGACTCTGCTCTCCCGTCGTCTATCCCATCAGCCACTCCCGCTTGCACACGTCGTTCTCATGCTTCACCCTTGTCCATACGGTACAATTACCACCGCGGCTCTACCCGGTCGGATTGCAACCTCTGCTGTCGCGGTCAACCATGCCATGACGTCAACCACGATTGACGCTCAGCCCGACGGCCTACCTAGAATGACTGCCGACTGCCTATTATTTCTGCCATCACAGACAGAGAGGCTCAACCGCCTAGTCGACGCCATCCGCGCTTGAACTGTCCTGTCGTCGGCACCGCCACGAGAAAGTAAGCTCTTGCCATTGCTCGCCCTGAAAACCAACCCCGGGCGGGTGATCAACGAGCGATCCTGCGGCACGTGAGCAAGCCCTTTGCCGGTAAACGTCCCTACTGCAAGTCCTGTTAAGACAATGTCAATCTTCCAGCGGGATATATGGATTCTGACTTTTGCTAGTGCCGCGGGCCATGCATTCGTCCCTGCGCATCTCGCGGGGGAAAAGAGAACATCTCAGTGAATAGCGGTCAGCACTTGATGTTAGTCTTGTCGCCCTACCCAATGGTCACGATACCCAGCCAAGTTGGCGTGCTCGCCTGTCACATCCTTTGGTCCCTGTTGTGCCTTTCGCGAAGGTGCCGTGGACTTGACTCGCGATAGAGGAGTGACGTTGTGATGCCACTTGAGTGCGACCATGGGACAGACTGTACCGCCCACCTCCGTGTTGACCTGATGCGGGGTTGGCTGTGTATTCTGACCTGTCTTCATGACGAGTGTTTTGTGTAGTCAATAATTATCACTACACTGCTCCATACCCGCCTCATGTACCAATAAACATGGGACTATGCACTCCCGAGTCGCAGCCATGTAAGCAAGCCACATTTCCAGAGATGCCGTGTCAGTCCTATCGGCTTCGGCTACAGTTCGACGACGAGGTCGGGGCCGCGTTACCTCCCGCTCTTCATCGACATGGATGCGTGCAACTTCGGAAAGAGAAGAATTCGTACAGCCAAAGCACGCGTTCCTGAGAATCTCGCATGGGTCTGCTGGTGAAGTCCGGGTCCGACAAAAAGAAACAGCCTAGGGCCAGCCTTCGACAAATCTATCGGTGTGACATCCTTCGCTTCGGCAAATACTGTAATCCAGGCCATGCGTGCGCTTGCGGCAAGTGAGGCGTTCGTAGGCGCCATCATGTGGTCTTGTGACGGGTTCCACGCCAAGTTGCGCGATCGACACGAGAACCCGAGCCGATTCTCCCGCGAAAACTTTCAGACCATTTACACGACCAAACCAACCCCATGTCTCACTGCGTCTCATTTTCATCTCAGATCCGCAGTTGTGCAGTTGTTGCTGCCCAGGTCCTGCGAATGGAGTCGGGACTACAAGGGGAAGCGGTAGCACTGAGGGAAAGTCAGCTGACTAGGGCGCTGGGTTCGATTTGAGGCGGTTCGGAAAAGGGGGCTCAGAAGTTCATCGTCGTGACCGTTGATTGAAGGAGGAGGTTTACAATCTTCGGAGCACCGTCTGACACGGGCGCGGGATCGGCCCCACCCGTCTCGGGGCGGTGACGGACTCCACGTCCCGTCTGCCGCAGTGTACGTCCCACACCGGGGTACGAACCATTGCTACGGTGGCGAAACACTTCCAGATCTGGTCTTCATCCCAAGGCCGCGGGACTGAGTCAATGCCTTACGGCCGGGCCGCTCCTGTGTCATGATGTAGTGGATGGGAGGGCAACCAGGAACATCGTCGCTCAGGTGTTTGTTTACATAGACCTTCGTGATCCCGAGTCGGGTGCGGTGTTTGGTCGAGCGGCGGCCATATTTTATACCAGCAAAACTCGAATGTCTGATGCCGCCCATCGTGGCGTTCGAGTTGGCGAGCTTGCGGGCTACAGATGCGGTCTCCTCGTCCCATCCTGAGATTACCCCATGACACGGAAACCCTGGTCGCAGACGTTCAGACTCGTCGGCCCCATCACCCAATCTCCGCCGACGAAAATAAGCATGAGATAAGGACGTTCCCGTTTAGGATATGTCTACCGTGCCTGCCACAGTAAGACGACGACCCACGGCATATCCGCCTTCACGTGTTTGCAATCGGTCGCATATCAGTTTTGGCTCATATGATCACTGTAAGGGGGGGAGAGGGGGAAAGGGAGACATGATCCCGTTTCCAGTCTGTTGGCTTCGCCCTGCAGGATGACCAACATGCGGCGCACGAAGGACACCAGTAGAAAGGTTCGGGTTCCCCAGCATCACTACTACATAGTAGAGTTACCGATAGCCTCGCCGCCGTGTCCAGGGACTGTGCGACACCAACACCGTATCGCAGCATTGCAGGATGCAGCATGCAATGCGAAAGGCAAGTTACGCTGTGCTTCTGGTAGATATATATATGATGTTGAAGAATGCTGGATTAAGGATTTGAGATGGACCGGGACCACATGGTCACCGGTCAAAGTCGCGGCGGCGGCTTGTGCGACTTGACTGTATGGTCTGCGTGACCTGCGCTCATTCAAGACATGTCCAGAGATGATGAAGATCGTATCATCTGTAGAGCAAGTTCAGAGGCGGTCCACTCGTCGCAAGCGCGTAAGCCTGGCGCTCGGTTTGTGCCAGTGACTGGAGCATCGCAAGACCTTTCGGCACCCAAGGTAGGTTTGAAGCAAAACGGCCTCTAGTCAGTGGACGGGCCCAGAGAGCTGGAGATGAATAAAGGCGGTTCTTTCCTCCCCAGGCCAGCCCGGCCCAGCTCAGCCAGGTATTGTCGAAGCCAATCGGTCTTATTAAGCCGGCCAGCTTGGAGATTCGGCCCCGGACTTGTGCCCAGTCCAGGTCGAGTGCGCGTGTGCAGCTGGCGGTGATGGCGTCGGGTCTGAGCTCGATGCACTAGCGCTGCGGTGCCCCCCTACCCAGTACCTTACCTCACACCTAGGTAGTTCGTGGGGGTGGGCCAATGCTGGAGCGAGCTGGCAATCACAATCGGAATCGTAATCAGAGAGGCCGGGGTGCAGGTCGGCTCGGGGGGTTCCTATCGCCCAGACGAATGACAGGTGCCAGATTAGACCGTAAGGTAAAGGTAAGGTAGGGTGAAGGAGCATCAGCAGCACGTATCTGACCGATCGGTGGGGTTCGCCGCCGCTCGCCCGGTAGTGTCCACGTCTCGTTGGAAATGTCCGTACTCCATGCCATGTCCAGACGTCCGAAGACGATAACGACAGAAAAGGGAGGTGCACTTTATTTGTGTAAGGCAGTTCGGGCTGGCCCGGTTCTGGCTTCTGACGAAGAGACCCGAGTTGTTGCAAGGCTGTGAACCTGAAGGGAGGTTGTCGGAGGCGCTCTCCGGATTCCGATCGAGAGATGAGAGTGGTACAAAAAAGCTGAAAGAGGCGTCTGCAAGTACAGATGGCGCCAGAGAGGCATGGCTGATGAGGAATGGAAGCGCCCAAGGCAAGACATTGCATCGCGCGGCGGTGGAGAGTTTGTCGACGTGGCCGGCTTGGCGAGGTTCGGGACGTGGAATCCGCTTGATGTCTCACATATTCCGTCTGCCGGTCGAGCCTGGAATAGCAACAACGCTGACATTCCCAGCCCGGGCAGGTCATCTCGACGAGGTGTACGGAGTGCTCCCCGGTTAGCGGTTAGCGGTTAGCGGTCAGCGGTCAGCCCTCAGCGGTGTGGTGGCGCTGCGCTGTCAAGACGCACTGCTGCAGCAATGAGACACGAAAAAGAAAGCAGAAGAAGCTGGAGGTGTCGAAGCACGAACGAGGTCGAGCTGTACCGAATCGATCCAGACTCGGCAGCAGCAGCAGCAGCAGCAGCAGCAGCTCGAAAGGTTTATCCGTAAGGTAAGGTCGGTTGGTACGGAGTAGGTAAGATGGCCGTATACGGTATCAGTGTCGTTCAGTCCACGCTTATCGCTCGCAGATGCGGCCCCACTCGGCCACGGCCGCTCTCTCCGAGAACGGTCTAGTGTCGGGCCTTCCTAGGCCAATGGGGGACGATGAAATCCCGGATTTTTAGCTATGTGGATACCTCAATGGACTGTACCTTAAAGTGGGCAATACGTAGGGTACGTACCTAACCGCGCACGCGAACGTGCACCGCTGCCGGTCATCGCCCGCCCCGCCCCGCCTCGTTTGCAGACACAATCAACCATGAAAATGTCAGACGGACCCGAAGACCAGGTCAGCAGGAGACAGACGGGTGAGAGAGAGAAAGAGACGGCCGTCGTGAGAGGGGAAAGTAGCATGGAAAGAAAAATTAAAAGGCTAGGTAGTGGAGAAGGGTAAAGAAGGAGAAGAACAAGTCCGGCTGTAACGTTCAGCAAACAAATCCATGGATGTTTACGCCCAGCTGCAGTGGTATTTGAGAAGCGATACCACCTATTATCTTTACCTTAACTTGGTCGGGATTCAAACGTCTCGGGCCACCGACGTTCCCTCAATCAAGACCAAGTAGTGCTCACCGGCCCAAGGTTCCTTGCCTTAGTCTGCAGTTTCCGTCACCTTAAAACCACCTTAGCTTCCACTGGGTCCGAACGAACCTCTCTCCGACTTGTCGATGGGGACTTTTTACTCTTTTCTGCCCCTGCCCTAATATTGAGGTACCTTACACACACGCACACACACACACACACACACACGCATACACACACGCGCGCGACCACAACCACAACCGCAACCACAGCCGTGTTGTACACATACAGTTTGGCAAGGCAAGGTAACCCGGGTAAGGAGGGGCATGGTATCCATCCCGCCTGCACGCACTTTTGTACGACGCGTCTTTTTATTTCAGCCCTCACAATATACATCAACGGCAAGGGACTGTCACCGACTGAGATCTTCCGTAACAACCATGTTAAGGTTGCCCAGCATGGCTGCTCGGCGTTCAATGTGTTGTCCTGCTCATGCGTAGAAGACGCAAGACATTTGAGCTCTCCGCTGGCTTAAGCGCCCTCTTGCCCCTGCAACTCAAGCATGCCGCTGTTCTTGAATCGCGCCGTGGCGCATCCGTACAGCAGATTCCTGGCGTGACATGGCAATGAAAATTGGACGATGAAGATGGACGGCTCCATTCCCGAAAGCAGCCACACCGAACGGACTCCTTGAGACTTTTAGCCCGGTTTCTGGCGCCTCCATACCATGTGGTCAAGTATTCATACCTTACCTACAGTCGGTATCCGTATATGCCAAGGTACAGGGTGAGAGTGGGTGAGTGAGTAAATGGCGGTACTAATCCGCGGGTCCTTGCTCTGATTAGATATCGCTTTGGCTAGGTCTTCGTCAATCTAAAGCATACATAGTAGTTAGTCGACAACGGACACGCAGCAAGTGGCCACACCAACACCAACGGCCAGCTGCCTCCTACTCCAAACCAGCATGCTTTGCTAGCTAGTAAACGTAGGACAAAATTGTTGATGCCGTTGATACTAAGGTACTGCGGCGGCGCATCCCACATGGGCATGGGCACATGGGATACATAGATGGATGGGGTCGAAAGTGGTCCAGCCGAGCTCTCGCCTCGGCAGCTGGCTTTACAGTACCGCGTACGTAGACTGTACGAATATCCCTACTTTGCGAGCGAGATGTGCTGCAAAGTGCCAAATATGAGGTGTGCTGGGCAGGTCCAAGTACGGCGTTTCGATGCTCCAAAAGGTGAAGCCATGCATGCCATGCCTGCAACGCCATGCATCCCCAAGCGTACGTACCGCAACGAGGTATCGCGCTAAATGGCTTGTCCACTTTTGCCTCACATACCTGGGCTTACCTTACCTTAACTCACCTTGCCTTGCCTACCTTACCACCTACCATCTAGCCTCCAGATACGGATACACGCTGTTCTTGACATCTTGACACCCGGCTCATCGGGGGCCTCTGCAAGTTGAGGTGCCCTACCTCACCTCACCTGCTCCATCCATCGCATCCTTGTCCAACCCGCCCGGCCTGCAACTTGCGCCAGTGATCCACGCCTTGCCCCCGTTCTGGACCCCCCCGACCAGGACCCCGACCTCGACGATTCAGCAAATGATAATCGTTTTCGCGCTAATAAATAATGGCTCGAGATTTTCTTTGATAACGCGACTGGCTCAGCCTGGGCTTTGGTTGCTCATCCGCCTTGCCTCTTGCTGCCGCTGTCTTGTTGATAAAAACCACCCGCCGTTCCGCCCCTCGATCTCCATGTCGTCTCTCTAGGCTCGTCCTCCTCCATCTTTCCCCCTCTTCGTCCGTCATCGTCGTCGTTGTCGTCGTCGGCTGTCACGATCTCGCTCCCTCCCTCAGCTCTCTCTGCCGGATCTGCCGTTGCGCCTCAGCATCTGCCTCTCTTCCAGTTGGTTGAAAAGCTTCTTGCTTGCTTTTCCAACTACCACCCACACCTGCCGCTTTAATATCCATCCGCCATCTTGACTCGACACCTTATTTGCTTTGACTAGCTGTCAAAATCTGATAATATTTTCTTTTTCGTCTCTCTTATCTGACCCGTAATCCGGAATACCGTTCTCTTTCCAACATCATCAACAACGCTTGAGGAAAAAGATAAGGGAAGGAAAAAAAAAAAAAAAAAAAAAAAAAAAAAAAAAAACTTGTGCAAGATGGGGTGGGTTCAAAACGCCAACGCCAAGGTCGCCGCTAGCCCGGTCGGTCGGTGGTTCCAACTCGATGGCTCCGGTCATGTAAGTCATATCCTCCGTCTTGTTCCCGAAGACCTCGTCCTCACCCCACCGTGTGTCTGTTCCTTTCGAAACCTCCATCACCACCGTCAACGACGTCGAAAACGAACGAGACTTGCCCAGCAAGATGCTCTGTCGGCTTCGCGTCCGCACGCGCAAGCGTAAGCGCCGTCGCTAATCTGCCCGCCCGCCGTAGGCCCGTGAACGCAAAGGCTCCTACTTCTTCACCGAGATCCGCGCCGGACTCGTCGCATTCTTCGCCATGGCCTACATCATCGCCGTCAACTCCTCCATCGTTTCCGTCACCGGAGGCACCTGTGTCTGCCCTACCACCGATAACGGTCCCGACTGTACTGCCGTCGAATACGAGCTGTGTGTGGCCGAGGTGAAGCGCGACCTCGTCACTGCGACTGCCGCCATCTCCGCCTTGTCGACCTTCTTCATGGGCCTGCTCGCCAACTTGCCCGTCGGTTGCGCTCCGGGCATGGGTCTCAACGCCTACTTCGCCTACTCTGTCGTCGGCGTCAACGGGTCGGGTGCCGTTCCGTACCAGGTTGCTCTCACCGCCATCTTCATCGAAGGCTTCATCTTCTTCGGTCTGGCTCTGCTCGGAATGCGCCAGTGGCTCGCCCGTGCCATTCCCCGCTCCATCAAGCTCGCCACCGGTGTCGGTATCGGCTTGTTCCTCACCCTCATCGGTCTGACCTACAGTGAGGGTATCGGTCTGATCGTCGGTGCTACCTCCACTCCCATGGAGCTGGCCGGTTGCAAGCAAAGCATGTTGGACGAGACGACCGGCCTGTGCCCCTCCTCGGAAAAGATGCGCAACCCTACGATGTGGATCGGCATCTTCTGCGGCGGTATCTTCACTGTCATCCTCATGATGTACCGCTTCAAGGGCGCCATTCTTGCCGGCATCCTGCTCGTCAGCATCATCTCCTGGCCCCGGGGCACCGAAGTCACCTACTTCCCTTACACCGACCTCGGCAACTCTCAGTTCGACTTCTTCAAGAAGGTTGTGGACTTCCACCCGATCCAGAAAACCCTCAACGTCCAGGAATGGGATGTGTCGGGATACAGCGGTGCCTTTGGCCTGGCCCTCATCACTTTCTTGTACGTCGACATTCTCGACTGCACCGGTACGCTCTACTCCATGGCCCGCTTCGCCAACCTCATCGACGAGGAGACGCAAGATTTCGAGGGTTCTTCCATCGCATACATGGTCGACGCCCTCAGCATCTCCATCGGCGCGCTCTTTGGAAGCCCCCCCGTGACCGCCTTTGTGGAGTCTGGTGCCGGTATTTCCGAGGGCGGCAAGACGGGCATCACGGCCATGGTGACGGGCCTTTGCTTCTTCATCGCCGTCTTCTTCGCGCCCATCTTTGCCTCCATCCCACCCTGGGCCACCGGCTGCGTCTTGATCCTTGTCGGATCTATGATGGTTCGGGCCGTGACGGAGATCAACTGGAGGTACATGGGCGACGCTGTTCCTGCCTTCATCACCATCGCCCTCATGCCTTTCACCTACTCCATCGCTGATGGCCTCATCGGCGGTGTCTGCAGCTACATCCTCATCAACACCGTCATCTGGGTCGTCGAGAAAGCCTCCGGCGGCCGCATCGTTCCTGCCAACAAGGACCAAAAGGATCCTTGGACTTGGCGCATTCCTGGCGGCATCTTGCCTCCCTGGGTCAGACGCCTGGCCAAGGGTAAGAAAGACTTCTGGCGTCCAGACCACCAAAGCAATGGTGGCGAGCCTCAGCCCCTTGAGAAGACGGCCAGTTCCGACCAAGGCGGCTCGGTCAATGGCAAGGACAAGAATGTTGGCGAGACCATCTCTCCTCAAGGTGATAAGTCATCTTGAGTATATTGTCTATGAAGGAAAGTCTTGAAAATTCATCACGTACGGGTATTATTTTGGTTCATGTGGACAGGATACCCCATCAAGGACAGAAACGTCCTTTTTTATTTGCTCTGAATGTACAATAATAGCAATAATAGAACGGTGGGAACCCCACTAGTGTTGCTTGCTACCTTGTTTGATGAATTACTTGCTTGGGTGACACATGAAGCATCGTATAGCGGATGATTCGTCTCAAGCCTTTGAAACCTCGCTGACGTTCACCTCGATGGCCGCATTGTTGGTTGAATCGGCGTTCGTAGTGCTTGCACCAGCAGAGTCGTCATTCGCGCCATCAATGTCTGAAGACTGGGGTGCTCCGCCAGTAGTAACGTCGGTCCCAGTTTCTCCAGCTTCCATAGCTGCCAGTCGTGCAGCTCGACCTTCCTTCTTGCGCGGCACGGGGGCTGAAGACGAAGTTAGCAATGTTCCAGGGTGTGAGGAGCTTCATTCTGCGCTACTTACCGCGTCCGTTCTCTTGAACGTAGAAACGCCGAAGCAAGCTGACAGCTTCGTCACGGCCCCATCCGCCCTCCGCCTCAAAACCGCGCTCCACGTTGCCTCCATCTCCGCCTTGGGAGGTTAGCTGACTTCCCGCGAACGAACCCTTGTTTGAGGACGAGCTGCTCGGCCGAGCCAGGTTGCTTGCGTCAGTGGAAGTCTGGAGGGGCTTAGATATCGAGGCATGATGAGCATCAGTCGAGTTCTTGTGAATGCTGAAGACGCCACCAGTACCGCCAAACTTGTCGTTGACGGCACCGAAATAGACCTTTTTGATGCCAAGCTGTCGCAAAAGGCCTGCACACATGACGCAGGGTTCGACGGTGACGTAGAGGATGCAGTCATGAACGATGGAACGGTCAACCCTGGGGGAGCGGTGAAGCTTCTGACCGTACGGGTAGAGATGGCCATTTCTGACATAGTCATCGTCCATGGGGAACAACTCCGACTCGTCATCCTGGATGTCAGACCTGGAGCGCTCGTCGGCCTGCTTTTGTAGCTTGCCGCCGGCGTCCGCCGCGCCGTCAGCGGGTCCGTACGACAGCAGAGAAGACAGTGCCATGAACTCGGCGTGCCTGGTGCCATTGCGAGTGACGTTGGTGGCGTTCATGCCTCTTGCAATGACGGCTCCCTTGTAGACGAGAACACAGCCAACGGGCGTTTCGTTGGTTCTCAGAGCCAGGCGGGCCTAGAGTCGAGGTTAGTCTGGGTGGTTGTTTGATGTCAAGAGGGTTTGGGAGCAAGCTGGTCATCTTGACTTACCATGTCCAAGGCCTGGTCCATGAAGACTTGATGGATACGCTTCTCACCGGTGGCAGTGTAGGGATCACGGTTGATTGACGTAGATGATCGAGGCCGAGTGGGATCGTCAATGCTAAGGCGGCTCAGAGGAGTAACCGGGACAATGACGGAAGAAGCAGAAGCGGGGGCTCTGTTCTCCTTGTTGCAGTCCGACGAAGGGGTAGCAACGCGGTTCAACGACGCCGACATTGCAGCGGAATCCCGAGATCGGGGGCCACTGGGCGGCCGAGTCGCGACGGCGGCCATTTCAGGTTCTTCCGAATTTGAGGTTTCCTCTTGTGTATGTGTTGGGTGAGATAGTGGTGCTGCCGACAGTGGCGTGGACGTGGAGGATGGAGATTTTGCGTTGGTGTTGGGGGAGAAGGGAGATTTGAGTCGAGTGAAGATGTTTTGTAGGAATTTGCCTGTTGTTGAAAGCCGCTTCCCTTTGGCCTGAGACGGAGAGTCATCCAAATTGGACTCGGTTGTTGATGGCACCTTCTTCATGTTGACCGTTTTGGCAGGAACATCCACTGTGCTTGCCTTTCACCAACCACTCTGCCCGGTACCGTGGGGTTGTAGGGTCTAAGTGAGTGCCTTCTGGGATCCAAACAGCTCCAGTGCAATGAGTCGCAGTAAGGTATGCCTTGAGAGGTTCCAGGTTGGATTAGCTGAATTGAGGCCCCAAGGTAGTTTCCTTGGGCGTCTACCTCTTTGAGACCTGCAGTTGCACTGTTCACAGAGTTGTAGCCCAATGCCAGAGGGTAGCCAAGCGAGGCAAGTCTTTGCCTTCCTCTTCCTTCTCGAATGGCCTGGTGTGTTGCCGAAAATCCTGCCCAAGCTCTCGGATATGATACACAACCCAAAGAACGTTGGTTTCAAGCTCGCCGATAGAGACAAAGGATGCGTATTGGATTCCACAAACGGGTACCCAGCTTAAACCTTTTGCGCAGGTATTAAGAAGAAACCCCTCCTCTGAGCCTGCAACTGAGCGTCTGTTTGAAACAGGTGCCTTACAACAAACGGACAACAGCGAAACCACGAGTTGAGTTGAGTATCAGAGATGAGTCAAGTTTACTAGCTCTGACTGAACCAGGGTAGAGAACAAAGCTTATTGTTGCCGCCGTTGAGATACTCGCTCCTTCCGCGGCGGGTATTCTGAGCGTCAGCCTGCAGCAATCACCTGAAACTGCTAAACAGAGAGCCTCAAGCAGTCAAGAGGAGGTAGGTGCTGAGATGAGTAAATGGTAGGTAGTATAGTTAAGGTGAGGTGGACGAGGTACCTTAAGGTAGGTAGGTAGTTGAAGTTTGCGCAAGTGGGAACACACCAGTCACGTGACCGTGTCTGTCACACAGTACCTACCTATGTAGGTAGGTACACTGACCACCCTTCTGACAGCATCACAAAGTACACCCAATCGTACATTTATGGCCGTTCAAGAAACCGTCCCTGTCTCCTTGCCGTTTTCGATGCATTCAGGCACTTGTCAAGGAGCTGTACCATCACGCTTTAATGCTCGGTTGCGACAAGCAGCGGGCTACGTATCATACTACATCTTTAGGCGATTCACTTGCACTTGAGGATCCCGGTACCATGTGAGCAAGGCAGTATATTAAACTGTACGGATCCAACACCCGATATCAACTTGGCTGTTCTGCAGCCGGACGCAGCTGCAGTATATCAGAGGCTTTCTTTTTCAACCCATACAGAAAGCGCCGCCTTGCCCGATGATTATGCTGACACGTCTCCCATCGCCGGAAAGTCCGCGTCTCATCAAAAAACAGAGGGGTATCTCAGAAACCAACGCTCCCAGAAACATCAGCGAATAGTACAACACACATTCCAATCCATACAGGCCAGGACCACCTGTCCAAGCCGCAGGTCGGCGTAGGGTTCATCGAAACCCTTGCGCGAAGCTCAGAAGCCTCGACCCCACCGCCGGCCTGGACCGGGAGTGCGCGTCTTGGTTCTGGCGACGGGTGTGTCGCAGTCTCGTGCTGACGCAGGAGAGTAGCCTCGCGCCGTCGCTGAAGCCCTGCGGCTTTGGCGTGGTACTGAGACGGCTCTGTTGAGGTCTCGAGCCATGAAGGCTAGAGTGAGAGTAGGCCTTGAACATCGCCAGGCCAAAGGCGATCTGGAGCAAGCCACCTGTAAGTGCCTGAGCTTCCAGAGAAGTGACAACCGTGCCGAGCGTCGCCACAAGTAGTATTGCGAAGAGGAGGAACTGCGTCGCGGATGGCTTGCCAGCAAGGGAGCGACACGCGGATACGATGCCATCGCTTGCAAATGTCGCAATTGCAGATTGCTCTCCATCTACGCCGATTACGTCGCCATTGCTTGCAAATGTCGCAATTGCAGATCGCTCTCCATGCACGCCGATTATGTCGGCGATGGAGGATCGAGAGCTGAGTGGCGCGGACGTACCACGACTAACCTGCGACGTGACACCAGTTGCCTGGAGGTAGCCGGTCGATGTGGGTGTGGTGCTGGTCACTCCGGTCGCGCGGTTGCTGCCGTCACCAGGTGTTGCCATATCGGTAGTCGCGTAATAAGACAGCTCCCCGAGCGACGTCGAGAAGCATGCAAATGAGGCTACCGAGGCAAGTGGAACTTGGCTGGGTGAGGGCTGGGCGGGTGACGCGTTGCGGCTGACATCGCCTGCGTTTGTTGACGGCACGTTTACGCTCTGCAGTTGGGTGCGTGCAATGCCACTGGAGGACCAAAGTGACCGAGTCCTGTTCTGGGCGTCGTCTGTCATCAGCGGTGATTGTACAGCTGGGGCGGCGAAGGCGTTGGCAGGAAGGCGTGAGTGTGATGTGCGGAAGCCGACAGCGTTCTGTTCAAATGTTATCATCAGCTCGAAAAGTTCCGCGCGAGTACAACGCACCTGTGGTACACTCCGGTCTTCAGCGAATGTATTCCTGCCTTCTCCACTTGGTGGTAAACGTTGTCCGCGATCTACGCCTTGTGGATCTTCCGCAAACTGCGGCGATACCGTTGTGCCACGATCAACGCTTAGGTCATCGGGAAGAGCCAATGCCCTGTCGTCTGTGTGCAAGTACGATGACCGGCGATCCTGAGCAAGGCCACGGCGCTGAGGAGTAGTAATGAGCTCCTTGCCAGCAGCAGAGCCAATGTCGGTGATGAGAGCAGCGTCGTCGTCCAGGAAGCTTGGCTCGGGCGAGTACAGGTTGAAGTCGACGTAGTTGTTGGCAGGTGCAGTGGCGTCCATGTACGGCAGGGTCGGTGGGCGGACAATGGTATCCTCGACAAACGACTGGCTGGAGAGGAGATTTTGAGGAATCCGGCTCACAGCCTGGGGTTGAGAGAACACCATTGAGGGGCTCGCAGGAGACTGGCGTGAATGAGGAGACAGGTGGCCCTCGGGGTCGGAGAAGAAGTCGTAGTCGAAGGGAGAGGCGTTGGCGGGCTCGTCGTCGAACTGAACGAACGACTCCCAAGACTCGGGAAGCTCGAGAGGCATGTCAGGAATCTCAAGCCCGGTAAAGATTGGATCCGTGAACAAGGAGGTTGAAGAGACAGTTTGTTGCGGTTGCCGTTCGGTGACTGCCCGTGAATCTTTTGCTGTTGATGTCTTGGCCTTCTTGGCTAACCTTGCTGGAGCAGCAGCAGGTTGTGTCTGGGCAGCCGTACGCTTCTTGTGGCTGGGGTCGCAGCGGACCTTCTTCTTCTTGCAGGCATCGCAAGCCTTGATGATTCGCATGAGGTGAGCGTGGTCGCGCTGCTCCTTGGTCTTGCATCCGCGGGAGGCAGAGTTTGTGACGTCGCGACCATCCTTAGTCATGATCTTCATGCCGGGAAGATGAGAGAAATCGCTGGATTGTGACTTGGGGGTGGGAGCGGCTGCCTTCTTGGAGGACTTGGTAGGGGCGATCTCCTGAGTGGCGGAGGCCGGAGTTGACACCGAGGCAGAGCTGGGGGTCGACTGAGACCAGCTCCAGTCCGAAATGACGGGGGACACAAAGTTGGAGACGTAACCGGAGTCCTGCACGGGACTAGACTCGGCAGAAGATGGCTGAGTGTAGACAGGGTAGTACTTGAATGTCTCTCCGGTGAGCTGGGAGTATTCGAAGAAGTCCATGGAGACGGTGGCTCGCTTCTCCTTAATGGAAGCGGTGCCGGGAACAAAGGCATTGATGAGGTCGTCGAGTTGCTGAGTGCCCAAAGCAGGGTAGAACTGCAGAGAAGCGCCGAGGACAGGTTGGCAGATTGAGAAGCCCTGGAGGGCGCCGACGGAGTTGGTTCGGGACATGGCCGCCATTTGATTGACGGCGTTGGTTACAGAGGGAATTCGGCGATGTAGGGAAGATATGGCGACGGAACAATTATTCCTTGACCTTGAGGCGGCAACCAAGTCTTGGTGAGACGGTCCCGATTTTCTTTATCTGTCAATGAGTAAGCCCCTCAACTATTCAGATCAGATGCGTTGTCCAAGCTTCCGTCTCTCAGTGTCATGTCGAGGCTTTGGTGCCGTTGACGCCTAGGCCGGGCGAAAACCCCAGATTGGAGATGGCCAGAGTAGAGTGACCAGGGATGTGCACGTGGGGTTGGATGGGGAACCCAGGCCAGGCCAGGCTAAGGTAGGCAGACATAGACATGTGTGGGCGCATTCGTACCTTGAATGTAAAGAAGGAGTTCAAAGTACGAGAATACTACTTGGCCGAGGCGAGATAAGTTCAGACCGTAGATAGATCAGACGCTGGGAGGTGTTTGATGTCTTCTTTTCTGATGCGCTGACAGCTCGTGTCTGGAAGCTCGTATGTAGATCGAGTGACAAGTGCTGAGGTTGATGGAGATGGTAGAGGAGTGAGATTCAGAGGAACACGGTGAGGCGCAAGGCAAGCCTAAGGAAGATCTCCAGCTTTGGAGTTGCTTCAGTGATTGTATCACTAGGCGTGTCGAATTGGATGATGTGAGTTGACAAGAAAAAAGAGAAAGACGGAAGGGACTCGGGGCGGTAGGGTCGGGCGGGAGTCATGGATGGTATTTCAGGTTGAGGCAGCTGATGTACACAGCGGCATCCGTCAGGTATCCCCAGCAAGGCGCAGCCCGTGGTTTTGATTGAGTCTGTCGGCGAGATGAAAATGGACTAGCGTGGAGACGACACCGTTTCGTGGGATGGCCAATGAGAGCCGCAGTTGGGCTCGGGAATATCCACTTAAAGGTCTCCCATTGGTCAGCTGGATCCGCATCCTGCGAGCCAGACATCAGATTTTCGGCGAGCATTCTGGGTAGTCATTGGTCAATGCCAGTCTGAGCTGCAGTCACGTGACCCTGATGAGTCAACCTCGAGCCAATGGCGGCCGCCCCATGTCGCTAGCACCAGTCACAGCCCGTCTCAACCCTTGATAGGTCAAGTGTGCTTGGTAGAATCGGACTGTGCTCCAATTGAGTGCTGCAATGCTGACGGAGATTCTTGGGTTGTTAGGGTCCCTCAGTCTTACGGATACAATCCTCTATCAATGCCAGCCAGGCAGAGGCAGACCTTACTACCTGATGGTAAGGCTAATTTCCCAGACCGCCGGCTCCATCTAGGGTAATCGCGAATGCGCAGGGCTGACTGCACCACTCCGCGGGCATTCACTCTTTTTCCGCCTTGACATGGAAACAGTTGATCCCCATCCACCCGCAATTATGTCATCAGTGACTCTTTCCACATGGATGCATGAACGAGGGACGATCATCAGCCAGCGTCCCACGCCAATTGAACCCTTTCATCGACTTGGGTATAGCTGACGGGACTTCGTAGCCAATGTGCTGGTCAAAAGTACTATACTTCACAAGATAAGTGAGTGACTAGCAGAATGTAACTCGGTATCCCTACGCAATAGGCCGAAATCTGACGCAAGCGAGCCAAGTAGGCGACTCGTCCGCCGCATGGTACTTTTTCTCTCCATACCACAGGTAGTGGATGAGAAATCAAACACTCCGGACTACGCTTCTCACCTCTTAACCCTCACATAACCGAAGTGCGTCGAAATGAGCATGAACACGGCTTTAGCCGTCTGGAGCTGCATAACCGCTGCTTTGCTATAATTAACGACAATTTTCTGTTATTCTAAGTACCCTCGTTTCTGCATACATCGCAAGACAGAAGCCTGTCGTAGCATGTCGTGGCATGTCTAAAGCGAAAGCCACAGGCCATCTCATCTACCACCCATCCATCAAGTCTTGTCCGGTAATGCAATGGACAAGTAGTCTTCTGATACCGTGGGCCATTTTCGTCGCCCATGAGCCTGGTATGCATAATACTTCAATGTCCTCTGAAGTTCACTTTTCCTATATTGCCATATATACTGCAGACGTTTCCGTTCTTCGCTGCTTCATCCATTTCCGTGAAAACGCTGGAGAATCAGGCCAGGCTTCTGGGTGGAATAATAGTCACCTAGTACCACGACTCAACGCCGTCGTTGTCGCGTCTATCACAACCAAGGCAGTCGTCTGGCTGGTTGTTGTCAAGTCCGCATTGGCAGCAGAAGAAATTCGGCGAAGGCTGAAGTTCTTCAAAAGCTGAATGGAATTTCGGAAATGTATCTCGACCGTGGGAGAATGGCATTGGACGCCGCACCTGCTGGGTCCGATGCCCTCACACCCCCAGAAGCCACCACTTTCAACCTCTCTTTCAATCGGTACCGGTCGACTACTATGGGATGCTGGCTGCCAGGTGGTGCCCATATGGGCTCGCTTGCAACTGTCCATGGGGCGTAGAAAGCTGATGCGAGTATGGGTCAATACGCCTGTGAGCCTAGTGGTGATGTGCTACGTTCAGTAGGAAATGACGGCGTGTTTGTGCTTTTGATATCGTCCATCCAACTGCGTTTGTCAGGAAATGTAATAGCCTGGCCAGGAGTAGTGCCAAGCAAGACGTTGAGTACGTGACCGCGACCTAGGTTCGGTACCGAGAGTCCTGGTGTTGTCTGGACTGACGTTGAAGTTTGCAGCACTTGCGTGGCTTTTCGTTGTTGATATGTATGCTCGAAAGGAGTCTAATCATGATGAACATACTGGGGTATCAAAGCATCAGCAAAGTCAGATGTCAAATAGCCGATAAAGACCAACCTGGATTTTGTGGTCGCGACAGCTGGGGTAGGCTTTCAACTTCGTCATGAATACTTTTCCCTGGCCTTGGTGAAGTCTGACGAAGGCCCGCGGCGTCCAAGACGCTCAACGGCTTCTTGGGCAAGTACTCGACGCTCAGCTTATCGAAAGCTCGACTGACAGAACCGGGGCATGAGCAAGCTTGTGATTTAGAAGGTGTCACCACGGCCGGTTTCGCGGCTGGAAGTCGTAGAGAAAGAAGCTGATTTACAGTCGAATCCTTGTTCAATTCGCGTATTGTGTTGTAGAACTTCATCAGGCCTTCATTGATGTGCATTTTCTGGCTGTCATGATTAGGTGACGTCGATTCAGGCCACCTCTCCATGATGAACGAAGGACCCGATGTCTCGATCTGCTCGGATTCTTGGCGGCGTATACGGCAACATGAGGAAGAGACGGGACTCGTTGTGTTGCGGAACGGAACAGTGGCAATCCCGTCCATGCTTCAGTTGGAGTTTCCCCCCTCAGTTGCAGCCTGAGGTGGTCGAGCATACACGCGCACCCTTCTACCTTGACACCAAGGTACGGGCGACGGTTATACCTGGAGAGCGCAGGGTATTCGATGGTTGCCTTATTCTCACTTTATCGCTCAACGAGCGCGCCATGGCGATCAAGTAACAAGTGCACGGAAAAAGTATGACTTGTGTTTTGAGTCAACTGACGATAGCCTCATCGTCATGAGAATGGCCGGAGGCAGGAGACGACCCACACGCAGTGCATAATCGCAACTCAAGGAGTAGACTCAAGCCCAATCGAAATCGACAAGAAATATGAGATTTGCTACTATGATTAATCACTGCGCCTGTCCTTGTCATATTACATCATTTTGCGACAGCCTGTGGTTGACCATTCTTGCATCGTGTGGCCTCACCCTGGCCGTGCGCAGCCCAGCAAGTCAAAAGCCTCTCTGCTCCAAGGTCCCCCATTCGCCCGTGAAAAACCTGGCATCCTCTCGACCGATTCGCCCGTTCCTTCCGAGGCGGGCTTTGTCCCCGGCTTGTTGTCTGGTTTACTAACCATGGCGGGCGCAGGGCCAGCACTGGGTGGTATAACCGACTGCGGAACGGTACCAGCTGCGTCAGACTTCTTAGCTGCCTTGCGTCCTCTGGTGGCCGGATTCGATAGTCGAACTGTTTGCCCTGGTCTCAATGCATCCTGCTTTGACGTGTCCATTTCGTCCTGCGCTGAGATGCTCATCTCCATGTCGTCCTCACGTTTGACACTTTCCTCAGGGATCACAGGTGCCGAGTCGCAAGCTTCGCGAAACATTCGAGATGGTCTACTATCAAATGATCCTATGACCTCTTTGCTTTTCACACTCCTTCGTCCGAATGATGCAAGTCTTGGGCCGGGATGGGAACTGGTCTCTTCTGCTCCTCGACGGTTGTCCGACCTGAGACGTTTCTTTTGCTTTTCTCGTTCTTTGGACAGTATATCGGGCTCGTCTGTGTCCGTGTGCCTTGACTCGGCTGGTTCTGCCTGCTGACGGGATTTTCGATCCTGGTCCCTGGCCGGCGCTTTCGATCCCTCGCCCAATCCAACATCATTACTGATGCCCACAGGCGTCTCCTGCTCAGGCCGACCTTGCTTATCAGTCCTGTCTGCCGCTTGACTACGGTTGTCGTCATGGACAGGAACATGACGACCCATTAGGGGAAGGGCTGACAGAGCATTGTCGACAGCATTTTCCAGGTCAGCTGGGGATGGATCGATTTCGACTCTGGAGGTTGTGGTCTTTTTGGGCACAGCTTTATTCGACATCATCAGAAGTCCTCGTCTCTGTCGTGCTTTGATTCGAAGTCTTGCCTTTGGCTCTTCTGGCGCATCAGACTCAGCCTGACTTGTCGAAGAACCGTTGAGCATCCGCTGCGGACACTCGTCGTTGTGGGGATCCGCAAGGGATCCCGAAACTTCGATGACGTCCTCGTTGGTAGAGCTGCGAGTCAACCCGGGCTGGCGGGTCTGATCCCTATCGTCTTGGGGAGGATCTGGCAAACGCGACCCTGTTGCACTCAGTAGCACCTGTCTTGCTCGTGTAGCAACGCGGGGAGCCGTACGGTTGTTGGTATAAGCGTTGCTTGGCGCCCGCTGGTCGCTTGAGTCCAGTGTCTCCTCTACATCCTGTGATTTTCGGGCAGATCGCGACGTTGGCTTGCGCTTCTCCGTTATCGTGGACGGCTTTGGAACCGAATTGACGTCAGCTGTCGGCATTCTCTTTGCGATGCTCTTCGGGAGTTCGTCGGAGATTTGGCATGCTACCGAAGGAATCTGTGAACCGTCCGTAAGGTCCACCACAGCGGCAGGTCGTGAAGAGGAGGCTTTTGGATCTCGACAAGGGGGACTCGGGCGGAAACCTTGGCTGATGGGCGTGATCAATGGCTGGCTGCGGACTGGGGCGCTCGCAGACCACGAGGACAGCGTCAATGCTGTACCAAATAGATTCTGGGCATAGCCTGCCTTGCTCGGGGGTGACACGTCTCTTTTCCTCCTCTTTGCTGGCCGTTGATTCTCGTCATGAGGACTTGAGGCTTGAGCGGCAACGCGCTCTTCGTAGGGAGACGTCTTGGGTATGACAGCTCTACCTTGAGGTCCGCGTGGGGTGTTGAAGAGGTCGGCCAAGTGTTTTTGCCGGAATTGGCCATGCGGTGGATGTTGTAGTTGCTGTTGCATCTGCTGCGGCTGCGGCTGCGGCTGCTGTCGAGAAACAAGCGACGGGCGAGCAGAAGCCATAGGGGAACTGATAGCGGAAGCGGAGGAGCGGGCATGTCGCTGATCAACTTCTTTGGCTCTCTTGTCGAGGAGTTCGGAAAGATCTTGATCCTTGGTTCCAATACATTCGGCAACCTGGACAATGACAGCACCGCGCTCCAGATTGAACTCCTCGCCCTGACAAAAATCGAAGTCCTCGCGCCAGTGCATGTCGCCAATGAAATTTCCCCTCTCATCGTACACCATGATGCGCTTGTTGAAGGTGTGAAACTTGAGGCGTCCATCTTGCCATCGCTTCTGTTTGCGCTTCAAGTCAGGAGTAAATAGGCAGATGTATTCGTGGACCGGGGCGGTTGAGGGCAAAGCCGAGACCTGGCTAGGATGGCTGGCGAGAGGCATCGTGGTTGCCGTGGCCGAGGGTGACACATGGCTGGCTGGGGAAGTGCTGCGTTGGTGGTGTTGACAGTGGAATGGTGAGAAAGCAGGGAGACGCGTCTGGGCGCGAGAAGTGGCAGACGCCAGGTCATGTGACTTAAAGTAGGTACTTTGGTGGGCGTGAGTGCCTGCTCGGTCTCCGTATCTTAAGGGACCTACCTAAACCTAAGATGGGTGGGTAGGCAGGTAGGTCAGGTATCTTTGCATCTCTGTTTCATCCGCCCTCTCGATTTTTTTTGTATGTTAGTTTTCCAAATATCTCTCTTAGCTATGATCCCTACTGAACTGAATCGGAGGAATGAGTTCTCATCTGATGTTTTTACGGCAAGGCGAACAGCGGGCACGGCCGCAAAACCCCGCTTGCAAGGCATGGATGATACTGGATCGAGCAGCTGACAGCTGAGATTCGATAATGGAAATTACAGCTAGAGATGCGACCCATCTTCGAGTCTGCTGCAGACTTCTTTCTTTTCTTCTTTTTGTGAATCTCAGGCGAGGTCATCACTTTTCATCAGACACAGACATAGCCACGGCCAAGGCGAACGAAGTACGGGTAAGTGACTGTGAGAACACATTGGATCGACAAGGAAGACCGCGTTGGACACGGCTCCTCTGCAAGGGCCTCGAAGTGCGCGCTGCGTCTGAAGCTGATGACAAGAACAGGAGAAACCCTGAAAAATGCAGCAAAACCTGGACAACGAAAATAAACATTACATTGAAAGCAACAAACACCAGAGACGTCGAGCCAGCGAGGAGCGCTTGGTGATGGGGCCTTTGCGAGGCAGTCTTCGCACAGTTGGAGAAGATGTTTGCGCTGGCTGAGACCATCTCGAGTGTCTCGACTCTTGGTTAATTCCTGAATATCCCACCTACCCAAGGTATCATCCTACGACAGGATACGAATACTTATTGCATCGTAAGGTAGCGTTCGAAGTACCCATCGAGTGGCTCAAACCGCCCAGGGATCGACTCGTGCCGGCAGCCGGGCCTGGCCTGTAGCTACCGCGAGCTAAGCCTGCAAAGGCATTTTGAGGCAGGGAGATGCGACGCTACCTTATTTTTGGTTGGCTTCCACGCCTGACAAGGTTCCAACGCTGGTTCACACACCGCCGGGGGTTGCGTAACGTCCGTCGCGATGAGTTCCTCAGAAGTAGGGGAGGGAGGAGGAGGAGGAGGAGGAGTTGAGCATGTCTTGACGAATTAAAACACCATTTCAGTACTGCGTAAAGTGACGGGAGGTAGCCATTGTTCGAAACTGCTACAGGACGCCGCTGTCTGCTCCCGACGAACAAGAGCGGCGCAGTCCAATCAACCGTTCCTGTTTCTGTTTCTGCTGTTCCTGATCCTCCTCCTTGATCCTCTCCAATCTCAACCTTGTCTTTACTTTGTTGGTCGACAAGGTACAATACCTACCTACCAACCGAGTGGCTTCTCGCTTGTGCCGCCCACCTTCACCTCAGTGTCACTTCATCCCACTGGTGGGCACTCACGGCCTGGGCTACCTTACCTTGCATCACATCCAACCTCCCTCCTTCATATTTATCGACGTAGTCGTACCACACACAGCCTTTGCGACACAAAATCTGCCACCGACGAAGACGCGAAAACAGAAAGACAACGACAACGACAGCAACAACGCAGAGCCTACCTGTAGGGGCACGAATGACCTCAACCATTAGTGCTCTCAATTCCTCGCGTGAACATTCCCGTTGCGGCTGCTCTCTCACACACTCTCGTTCGCCCTCACGTCGCAAATCGTCAGGATGCAGTCCATGCAGAGACAGTTTGGCAAGCTCATGAACAAGAGCCCCGGCGACAATGCCAAGGTCGCTGCCATCCTCCACGACTATGAAGATGCAGACAGATTGTTGGGCCAGGTAGCTACTTTCTCCAACACTTTTACCTACCTTACCTTACCTGACTTTACACTTTCATATGCCGGACCCACCCGCACCCGACCTTTCTTCTTCCATTCCCCAAACCCACTCACCTACCTACCTACCTTACCTTACCGTCCAGCTAACGTCCTCTTCCCGTGTGCTAGATCGTCGAGAATACAAAGACACTTCGCGATTCCTGGGTCACTGTAGGGACCACTCAGTGGGCCATAGTCAAGGAATACGAGGGCTTGTACGATCCCATCGTCGGTGCCACCGAGGGCCACGGCCGACCCAGCATTGCTACACCCAAGCAGCAGCTCGACCGAACCTTTAAGCTTCGCGAAGCTTATTCGGACCTCAAAGATGAGTTGATCGAAGAGGTCGCAGCCATCGACGCCCAGGTCATCCGTCCCGCCACCGAAGCCCACGACTACCTCCAGCCCATTCGCAAAACCATCAAGAAGCGCGAGGCCAAGAGGCTGGACTACGAGAAAGCCGAGGACAAGGTGAAGAAGCTCCAAAAGAAGTCAGGAAAGACGCCAAAAGAGGATGCCGCGCTCTCAAAGGCCGAGTTTGAAATGCAATGCGCTTCAGAGGTCAGGACCGCCTCATCATACCCTCTTCCCCCCTTCCCAGCATCTGACGCACCATCATCATGACAGGAATTCAACGTCGCAGATACCCACCTCCGAGACGCTCTACCGCCCCTGGTCGATGCCACCTTTACACTGATACCCCATCTCCTGGCCGCCCATGTTTGCATACAAAACCGACTTCTCGGCTTGTACTACACAGTGCTTCACAACTACTGCGAGGAGTATGAGTTCCCCTCACCCCCGCCTCCGATGGAAAGCGTCGTGTCGACATGGTCCGCCGCGTTCATGCCAGTTCGGAAGGAGGTAGAGGCCCTCACTTGCATACAACACGGTAGGGTCTGGCGTCAGCAGGCTCCGACGTCGGCGTCTTCTCGCGGTCCATATACGCGGACACCGTCGGGCACGAGCGAAGGCAGCACACCGACCCCTCGAATCGTACGGATTCCGTCGTCGAACTCCGTCGGCCGGGCAGCTCCCGCGCCCGAAGCTTCTCCTCAGCCAAACCCGCAGCCGACGAGGAGCGCGAGCGCCTCGCGCTTCCAGATGGGTTTGCCGACCGATTTCACGACGGCAACGGCTCTCGGTCATTCCCAAGGCGGCCCTCGAATATCGCCGGCGTACTCGTCCACCAAGTCGGAGCACTTTGGTCACCAATCCGGCATTTCGCCCAGCAACGGCAACATCGCCGCGGCCAAGAAGAAACCGCCGCCGCCTCCCCCGGCCAAGCGTTTCCAGATCCCCGAGGAGTTTGTCGTGGCGCAGTACGATTTTGCGGGCGGGAACGGCGATCTGAGTTTCCGTGAAGGCGACAGGATCAAGATCGTCAAGAAGACGCAGACGGATCAAGACTGGTGGGTTGGCGAGTTGGGAGGGATCAAGGGGAACTTCCCCGCCAATTACTGCAAAGCGGCTTGAGGTTTTGGGCTGAAATGCTGAGAGATACCTACGTTGACCTTCAGATGGGTTCCCGAGTGATCGTTGTTGACGCGCGACACCGGGAAAAATCCGAACTCTTTGGTGAGGAACGTATATCGCAGTCGGCGTGCTATGTCATAGTCAGGCTGCAAAGACCGTTTCGCGGCTTTGCGTCACACGACCGCAAGGCCTCTCTGATGTCACGAATGAAACGCCTGGCAAATGAAACACGACGGCGAATGATACCGGAAAAATAATGTACTTTCAAAACCCGGGTGCCACTTCCGGACTCACCACATTCCGAGTCCATCGGTATGCGTGGTTCGGACAAATCGTTGGACACGAGAGGGTAGCACGGCGTGTATGTTTCTCACAGGTTCTGCGGTGAAACATTGAGACACCTGAAATCGGCCGTGACGAGATGGGAAACGACGGTGGTTGAAGTTGGTTTATTGTCCTGTTCCGACTGCCTTATCTAAACCCGGACGCCAATTCCTAGTGTCTAAAGCCTCCTGTACCGAAACACCACTAAACGATGATTTCCTTTGCTTCGGATCAAGTCCGAGCACGTAACGAATGAAGCATTGCAGTAGTAACCATGAGGGTATCATAAACCATAAACGATCGTCTCTGTGCCCCCCCTTTTTTAATACGCCGTCATCGTCCACTTGAGTTCGGATGATTTATGCTGAGTCCTGTCGTGCCCCGAGCACCAACAAGTTGGGTCGCGCCACCTAAAATGCTTGAGGGCCGGTTTCCACCGCCGGAGATGTTGCCCCTTCCCGGCGTATGCGATCCTCTTCGGCCCGCAACACGCGGGCGATTTCATCATTGCAGGCCCGATCCAGATATCCAACATCTTCGCCTTCCAGATTCATGGGTGTAACGGGGCCAGGGCTCCCCAGTGGCAAGAGTCTTGGTGAGATGGGCTTGTGAGCGCCGGTGGTTCCGATGTGATGCAAGTTGGACAAGGGAACCCCGTTGAGGGTAATAGTGGAACTCGACGCGCCGCTGGCTGAGCCCGCGGAACTTCCAAGCACTTCGCTTGCGGCCAACCTCGCCTGCGCGATCATATCCCGTTGGTATTGTTGCAGTTTGCGTCGTACGTCGGAGTCTTGTCGCGAGGATCTCAGTCCCTCCCGTGTGGGAATGTGGCCTTCTGATCTCGTAGACGACACACGGCTTGGAGGGGCGGACGGTCCTATCCTTGGTTCTTGACTGCCTCTGCTCTCGTAGTTGGACGGATAGTACTTGCCCATGGGCAAGGGAGTGTCGTGGACGCCACTGGGGAGGTAGGATGTCACGGGGGTGTTGGCGCGTGACTGTTCGATATCGAAAGCCGTCGAGGGCGACAAATGGGTTGAAGGTGCCATGACTACAGGCAAGGATGCGCCGCGATGTTCAGGCTTTGAAGCAGAGTCGACTGCGAGAGAGATGGAGTGATGCCGAGCTTGACCGCCCTCTGGTGCGCGGAAGGGATGCGGGTGGTGAACACGACCGTTGGGATCTTCGTGAAATGGGAAATAGCCTCTGTGGTGAGGCAGTCAGCATAAGGTTCGAGTACTTTGGTTGAAGGGAGTGGCAGAGTTGGCATTGGATAGGAACATACCCAGGAACGTCTCCGCGGGCTGAGAGGGGTTCGGGTGGTGTTGGTGAACAGGCAGGGGCCGAGTTGATCTTTCGAAGGCAGTGAGTTGGTTCAATACTGATTGGTCGACTGCGGTTGTATCTGGCTGACTGAAGGGAGGACAGATCGAGGCGAGCAGAGGCGGATGTTTCGCCTGTTAAGAAGCAAAATGGCGAGTTAGTTCTGGAGGTCTCGGCAAGCCAGGGCAAGGGAGTGAGGATTTGGGTTAGGTTAAGTAACTAAATGAAAGTTCAGATCGAACGAGGCAAAAAATCAATAATACAGCGAATACATTAGGAAAAAAAAAAAAAAAAGGGAAAACATGACGCAACGGTAAGGGTCCCCGGAAGCCATGCGAGACAGGCTCGAAGGGGGTTAGAAGAAAAAAAGGGCTTAGGGCCGGTGGTGACCCGTCCACGCCGTCCATGGACGAGATGGTGCCAAAATGACCGCGAATGATGACGATAGGTGCAGGGTCCCGGCCGAGTCCTGGCAGCGGCCGGCCATGGAATTCCAGGGTTCCCGTCAACTTTTCTCCCAGAAAGTCGAGCGTCCAGGGGTGGCGGCGAGGCGGCGAGGGGCAGCGAATGCTGCGGAAAACGGCGAGGGGGCCGCATGCTGACCTTGGAGAGGCACCAGCCACCCCGCCTAAGACATCAGGGCATCGGCACCTGATTACTTGAGGTAGGTTTACAATGGAATGCCCTGGTATGGTACATCGATTGTCCAAATGTGCTGCATGGAAAGCCCGTGGCCTCTGCACGCAATGCCATTGTAATGCATGCGGCGGTGCCCTGAGGTAGATTGAGGCGTCGTCGTCGTCAGAGACCTGCGATATCCTAGGTTTCTCTCTCTTGTCTCTGTGTCTCTCTCTCTCTTTCTAAAAAAAAAAAAAAAAAAGAGAGGGCACGAGACCCGAGACCCGATTCTTTCAGGACCCTTACTCTTCTACTCAGAAGCACTAACAGCACTCACGCTGCCGGGTCTGACGGCTGACGGCGACGGCGACGGCCATCAACGTAAGCGCTACCTCGTTTGCGTTGCCACTGACCACTGGCTGGCTACTGACCACTGACTGATGACCGGAGTCAACCCCGAGGGTCCGAGGGGCTTGAGGGTGCTCCTAGTCTGATTCGCCTTCGTCGAATTGCTTTTACCCTTTACCCTTTGCGATCGTGTCTGGGTTTTGGGGTTTTGGGTCAAGTTGCCTTACCGAGTACACTCTGCTCGAAGTAGTACGCAATACCGCACCGCAGCTCTGGACAAAACACCCCGCGGCACTAGCAGCATGAATACCCATCACGGGCACGGGTATTAAGGGTGAAGTGTAAGCAACCGCCATGAGCAGACATACTGAGGCACCCTGCGATGCACTCCGTCGCAAGCCACGAACCTCCCAGCCGCCGGACCCGCGTCCGCGGCCGAGATGACTCGATGGCTTGTCGCATGGCTCCCCCGCTCGGGCGGTTCGCAACGACAAACGGGTTCCTTCATCGGTGCGCCGCAGCCGTTGCGACATTGGAGTACGTTGGAGACCGGGGGCAAGCCCCGACACGCATGGAGGACAGAGCCGGGCCAAACGCCTGAAAATAGGACGGCTGAACTGACAGTCACAGCGACAGCCAGCCCGCCCGCCCGCCCGCCCGCAGACAGAAGCGGGATGGCGGAGCACTTTGGGAGGAGGGTGGTGAGCAGGCAGTAGAGGACAGGGCAGGGCTGGGCAGGGTCGGCCTGGGGACGGAACAGGCGGGGACGACAAGAGGGGGTGCCTGGGGAAAGGTTGGAGATAGATGAAAATTGAAACCAGCCCGACCATGGATAACGCAGAGAGGCGATGCTGGAGACGCTTCTGGAATTGAGTTGGGGCCCCGGATTTTGGAATATTTCAAGATCAAGACAAGAATAGACAAGCGGGGGTTCGGAAATGTAAACGAAACAAAAGAAAGACTGTAACTTGCCTCTTGGTGAGCGCACATCGGGCAACTTGAACCCATCGAAAGCCGTCTTCTCTTGCGCCGGCGTGTTGAGTCCTGACATGAGCAGGTCGCAATGGTCGTCGGAGTGAGATCCTGTCGAGGCCACAGACGCATCTGATGAGTTGGAAAACGTTCGTCCAGGCATGGCCGGCCTTCTGGCTCGCGAGAGATAAGCCGGCGGCTTGAACGAACGACCCAGGCTTGCCATCTCTGTCTCTGTTGGTCCCAGTCTCTCCCTTCCCTCTGTTCCAGTACCTGACTTTTGACCTTCTTCGAGCACGCTTTTCATGCCCCGCCTGTCGAGTAATGAGCTGAAACGTTTAGTCGACCGGTAGAGGCTACGGGCAACGCGGCTTGGCTCAACGGGTAGATTGGGGTCGAGTTGACGGACTGATACAGACGGAGGTTCCAAATTGAGGCAGTTGAAAGACTGACTCGCCGTCGTTGGAGTTGCGATATCGTGGTTGTTGACTGTCAATGACTTCCTTACAGTTGCCCTTGTAGCCGCTGTTAATCGTCCTACGCGTGTTTGGTGTAGAATCTGCCGCCACTGCTCCTCGTTGAATCAACAATTCCTCAAAATCGAAAGAGGAAAAAAAAAAAACAGAACTCAAGAGACGAAGGATCTGGCGAGGAAAGCGGGTGAGGTAAGTGTATGTACTCCGTCAGGCTGGTAGATATGTGGGCATGGGCATGGGCGCGAGCATGGGCACGCGGCAAACGGGGCCTCGTCGTCTCGTGCTGTCCTGTCGTCCGGTGGCTATTCTGGCGGTCGGTCTTGGGGGTGTGCTTTGTAGGTACGCAGGCGTAGGCGTAGGCGTAGGCGTGGAGATGTGTGATGGGATTGAGTAGGTAGGATCGAAATGGGTAGGATTGTGTTGTACCCGGACCCGCTGGTAATGACGGGAATAGGTAATGAGCAGAGTAAGAAGATTCGATGGGACGAGGGCGTCTTGAGTGTGTGTTTGGCGCCCAGCGCGCAACGCACAGCACACAGCGAATGCAGGACCGTCTCCTCCCGTCGTCGTGCACCTTGTCCGGGCAATGGGCAATGGCAACGCCAAGTCCCGTCGCCAGTAGGGCGGGCGGTCTTGGTCTTGGTAACGACGCCGAAGTGCCGGGCAGATGGTAATTGCTTGTCTTGTACGGAGGGCAAATGCTCTGTATGCTCCCAGAGCACCTCGGTTGCGGTATATTGATTGCAGCTGGCTTCAGGTTGCCGTCCTTTTGGTAAGGTATTCGGATTTGAAGAATTAGGCGACTAAGGATAGACAGATGATGGTGGATGGCTGTGGCTTTGGATCCGTCTCTTGTCCCCCTCTTATGCCTTGGACAAATTCCGAGTCCAACGGGTATGAGTACTGAAGTAGGTGTCTGTCGCAGATTCCAGCGTGTGCGTGAGTATCTCACATCTCACACTTGTCGACGATCAACAGAAAGCCGCCTCGAAGAGGTGCCCACGAAGCGAAGGCGCGTCTGGCGGGCGGGCGCCGAGAGTCAGGTCAAAGGGCCGTCTTCTATCGTTTCCTTGTCTGTATCCTGTAGACATTTGCCAGAGTGAAATCTTAATGGCTGAGATGCTTCCCGACACCCTGGATCCTTCTTGAGAGTGTTGAAGAGATGATATTTAATGCGGTCGAAGAGAACACACAAGGCGGAGGTACTTTTTGGCGTGGAAAGACGGCCGAAAGGTACTTTCCCAGGAGGCAGGGAGCCAACCTAGTGTATTCGACTGAAGCCCAGGGTCCAAGGGTCCATGTCTCGTCCCTTAGGTACCTTGGGGTAAATACCTACCTAGGTTGGTGGCTGCACCGTTTGCTGTTGGTGCTGTTGTACCTGCCTGCCTCAAGGTGCACCGCTTGACCGCGTCGGAGGAAAGCAGCAGAGAACATAAGGTAAGGTACCTAGGTAGAGAGTGGGAAGGAAGATACACTGTACTTCCATCAGGCAGCGGGCGACATTGCTTCTCGAGGAAGGTGGGTACTTGTCACTAGCCAACATGGCGCGCTTATACCTTGGAAGGAGCCCCATCAGGTCTCCATCTGGTATCCGTTAGGTATCCATCAGGTATCAGTGAGAGACACCTGTGACCACGACTTCACTGACTGACTGTGATTCCATCAAAGCTCCTTCCAGAATGGCCTCATCCACTCTCTAACTTTCACTCCGACTCAACAGCCCGCAATGAACAACAGAACAGCGCAAGCCTCCGATGAATCTTACTTTACGGATACACGTTCACTGAAAAATCTTCTCACTGGGTATCCTCAAAGCTCAGAGCTCAGAGCTCGCTCACCTCGAAATAGCGTTGTCGATCTCACTTGTCGATCGCTCTCGCAAATCGCCCTTCCAAGTTCCAACCCGCGCAGCCATAGCCAGACATGAGACCAGCAAAACCACCTGTACTATCGTGCCACCATGATTGGAAGTCGGCAACTCCAAACTCTGCCCTTTGCCTATGACTTGGCCTTTGATAAGCTAATGGAAGGTACTCCGTACTGACTAAGGTACCGTACCACCTACCTTACTCTACTCTACTACTTCATCGCGCGGGAACTGACCGGGTGGCGACAGCATCACCACCTGCGGCGCAGCATCCCGTCAACCCGTCAACCCGTCTGCCCGCTGGGATGAGAATATCTATCTGTACAGCGCCGTGGTGAAACCCGACACCTCTTTCTCCGAGGTGGACTTCACTAGGATTGACCCCTGCCACCGCTACCGTTACCGTTGCCGCCGCCGCCGCCGCCGCCGCCGCCGCCCCTCATCGCCTTCTTGCTTCTGCTGCGGCGGCTGCTGTGGTGTGCTGCGAGCTGCTCATCACGGCTGCGTCTCCGACCACAAAGAGAAAGTTCCTGTCCCTGTTGCCCCAAGGCCTTCGGGGAAACCATCTCCGAAAACACCAAAAGTTCTCCCAAGGTTGTGTCTAAAGGCAGCAGGTCGACTGCTAGGGGCATGCAGAAGGATTCTCTGTCCACGGCAGAACAGCAACAGTTTTCTCTTTTACCCCTCACCACTCCCTACTCCCGTCCTCAACCCCCAAGGTTGAAGGTACGACTTCCTCCACTCCCCACTCTCTGACTCTTGTCTTCGGCCCCGGCCGATGTGCAGTGCTTCCTCTCAACATCAAATCCAATGGAACGACAAAATATGGCGGTCGGGGGCCTGAGAGTGGGAGGTTGAGAAACGCGGGCCTACCTAGGGAACATCAGGGAGGGCCCTTTCGCACTCACTTTACACCTGAAATCAAGGGACGGCCAACCCGCTCCCCTGCTGGCCTGCACCTTGGAGACTCAAGCAGGAGACAGAAGACGCAGCGCGCTGATCTTATGGCTGATCGTTGCCGTCTTCAACTGGTGCATGGGCGTGGGCCGATTTTCGCCCAACGCCATGCATGGACATGCTTTGCGCATCCTCCTTACAGCTTGCTGATACCTTAGTGTCGATGCTTCGCCGCTGATACCAAATCACCTCAGGGACAAACCCTCCGAGTCTTTCAAAACAAGACCATGATGCTCGCTCAAAGTACGCCTACGCCTATACTTACACACGCAAGGCACGCCGACGCCGATACCGACTGCCGTACCCATCGTCTCCGGCGACCAGCTGAAAGCAACAAAGCAGCCCGACTCCCGTGGCCATGTCGTTGGTTGCGGCTCTGCGCTAGGTGAGGAGACATGTCAAGAAGGTTCCTGTACATGGAAGAGAGTTCATTATTACCTGCCACACTTCGGATACCCGTATCCGCGACGCCCCAAGCCTGTCGCTGACCTGACTGTGGCGCAAATCCTTCCCTCCCTCCCGTCCTCACTCTTTCACATCGGTGGTGATCAAATTGCTATGCCGGAAATGTCAACTCTGGAAAGGACAGGACTCACGTTGCATGGGCTTTGGCGAAGGCTTCCGACGCTGACAGCAGTGGCTATCGTGTTGGTGTTGCAACTGGTCGGGGGGTCTGGTCACTCTGCAAAGAGATTGGAAATCACGGAACCGCGCCACGCTCGCTAATCTTCAAAAGCGTCGATGAACGCATTGGCAGGGTCACCGCAGCCATTACGTCACAGCGCCGCGATGGAAGGGGGGGCCGTTTCTTGGGCACCTGCGGGGTTCGTTTTCTTCCCAACCCCAAGGCACGCACAATGAGGGGGTCCTTACCTGTCTAGGACGAAGCGACTTACCTTACGTCGTTGGGAAGGGCGACCCCGGAAAGCTAGGAGGGAGTTCTCCGGACTGGTTTCACGACTTGGGAATGGCACAGCCTTTGTCATGCATCAGCCACAAGGTTCTCTGTGGCATTCGGGGCTTTGTCCCCATTGCCGATAATGGGATGATTGATACGAATTACTTGCGGTGGTTGTGTCCGTAGAGATGCACCGGCGGCACGTAGCTTGGTCCGCTGCTCCGGGGATCCTTTCGGAGGACGTCCCGGGACGTGGGCGGTCCTCGCGGGATGGCCAATCTCCGGCGAGGAAGCCGGGACACGACTCAGCCATGACCGGGAGAGACCACACGACTTCCCCTCGGGCCAATGCCTGTTTCCATTACCATCCACCAAGATATACCTTTGATATTGACTGTACCTGTAACACGGTTCTAAAAACGCGTGCACCGTCGCTAATTTGGGGTCATGAGAAGGGTCACCGAGAAGGATGGGGATTCTGGGATTCTCGTTCCGACTTGTGTAGGCATAGACCTGTCTGGTGGCTCCTTTTGAGTTGTGATTATCAATTCGAAACAATAGAGCCTGAAGGCCGTGGATGATCTAAGCTCGTCTACTCTTGAGTGGGTATGGGGGAAACGAAGACAACTCAGGATGTAATCGCTGAACCTCGCTGAGGTTCTGGTATCGTATTTGCGGTAACACACAAAGAAACTCCCAACGCCATCTTTCGTGACAGCGTCATGAGACGAGATGGAAATGAGCCAGCCTGAGCGTGGTCCGACCGTGCCCGGCGACCGACCGCATCCTCCTCTCTCTCTCTCTCTTTCTCTCTGATATGATGATGGAACACGTTCGGGGAAGGAAGTAAATTGGAAGGCAGATGGGTCGCGAAGTTTCCGGCTTAGACCTTGCCGCGGCCAGTGAATCGGGTGCGGCGCTCGCGGTGTCCCCACCAGTAGGCGGCCGAAGCGAGGGCGCCGATGAGCCAGAGCAGGGCGTTGGCCAAGTCGACCCAGACCGCGTTCTTCATCCGCTGGATGCCTTTGTCGCCTTCGGCATCCTCCTTGATGTACATCTGTCGACAGAGTCAGTACGATGCCCCTGAATAGCGCGAGCACGTCGCGGATGCGGACCACTTACATTGCCAAAGAGACCGAATAGGGCGATCCAAAGTACAAATAGGATAAAGTCCCAGACGAAAACGGCAGCGAAGCGCTTGATGAAGGGGATGAAGTAGAGGACGGCCGTGACGGCGGAGAGCGCGCCGACTACTTCGGCGAAGACCTGTGGCGGGGCCGTCAGTAAACGCTCTACTTGGGTATCTGGTGGGCGGGCGAAGGGAGTAAAACTTACCCATTTAGAGTCGACATACTTTCCCTCGTTTCTAGCGCGGTTCAAGTCGACGGCGTAGAGACCACAAACGGTTACGGCCAGGACGAGCTGGAAGAAGTGCAAGACGGCGAAAGCGAGGTAACTCGCGGCCATGCCAAAGATGTTCATCGTGGAGGCTGGGTCGGTGGAGGCGTTGGTGCTCTGCGCTTCCCGTGGACGTATTCGGAGGATCGGATCTCGTCAGCACTAGACAGACGTTCTGTGAGACTAATAGACGTTTTGCTGTTGGCGACAGTGAAAATAGTGAGTCGGACAAAGAAGGGCTGGGCTGGGCTTGAGGGGGCTTTTAGGGCGACAGGAGGGAAGGGTAAGGAACCAGGAAAAAGTAGGGGAAAAAAAGGTGTTCGCAGGAAAGGTGATGACCTCTCTTGTTGTTATTAAGGTGGGTTACCTCATATGATGGTGGTTTATCGTGCGACTAGGCGCTACACTAGCGAAGTGCCCTGAATCAAACAGGTTCCAATGATGATTACCTTGGGTAGGTAGGTATTCGTCCCTGCTCTGAACTGAGAAAGACCTCCAGGTGACTGAGACTGAGACTGTGACTTGCGGCCACCGGGCCCGCGAGTTCAAGAAATTTCGACATGACCGTTCTGGATGGTCCCTTATGACGCAATTGGCGTGCTGGCGCTGGCTGGCGGTTCAATCAGCAGTCGGGAAACAGCTCACGCAAATGACAGGGGCCCTGTCACGGTCTTGTCACCATCCGTGTCATTGCTGGCCAGAGCTGAAGCTAAGGTGAGCTAAGCTACTTGTCTCAAGCTGCCTTACCTACCTTACCTTAGATCGTAATTAGGTAGGGAGGTAGGTAGGTACCTTAAGCTTGTTTGTCATCGTGCAGTTTTTTAACCATGCTACCTCTCTCGGAGCTCATCTTGGCAGTTCCCGTGGGCCGTTCATGCCCGCCCGCGTCAGGAACCGGGAGGGAGTTGAGAATCCAGGGTTCCGATTGTTGCAACACATATCCAGGAACGTGGGTAATGGTGTGCCTGATCTTCTTCACCTCTCACGACCGTCATGAGAACCAGTAAGACTTGGCCACGAAGATACAAAAACCATATGACTTTGAGACTGCCTCGCGCCCCTGATTCACCCGCTGTCTCCACGTCTCATCGATATTGAGACCTGCTAGACTTGAGGGCATCTGCACAAAGACCTCTTCGTCCGGTGTCAATATCTGAGCTAGAACGACCAAGACACCTTCTCTAAAGCTGTTCATCCAAGTCCGAGTCCGAGTCACCGAGGAAATAAGCTCACGATGTAACACCGATAGGCTGGCTCCCTGAGCACACCGCCAGATAGGCAGGTCAAGGTACCTTAGAAAATTATTGGACGAAATTACCTGGATCCGATCAATCCTAAAGCCCAAGACCCTTGTAACCGCCAACAACAGACATGGAACGTCTTCCCTATTTTCAACGTTGCTTGTGCCGATTCACAGCTCATATCGTCATCGGCTGGACAGGCGGCCCGGCCAAGCAACAGCTCCTGCATCAAGACTGGACTCATCTTACATGCTCAGGTCATGCACTCATTCAATCCCGACCGGCTGGATGATACCTGATTCGTGTGCCTGCATCAGTGATGCTGGCAAGACAGTAAAAATCAAAAGCGTGAGTGTGTCTGTGTGAAATGGTGCGCGGAAAGATGCCTCGGATGCCGAACAACATCCACCCCGCAGGGACCCCTCCGACACGACACCTCACCCACCTCATCCAGGACAGCGGCGTAGGCAGGTCGTCTACGCGCTCGGCCCGGACCGAATCCTCAACGTCCCTCCAGCCGTTAGACTCCTGTCACACAGCCCTGTACCAGTCACATCGCCAAAACCCATCGTCACCAGAAATAACACTGCGAGTAGTCACGATCCACAATGGATGACGAGGCGACGCTTCCCAAGCCGCCCTTCATCGCCGTGCCGGGGCTCCCCAACTTCCGCGATGCCGGCGGTTACCCGATCGACGCCCAGCCCGGCCGCATCCTTCGACCGGGCATCGTCTACCGCTCCGCAGAGCCCTCGCGCTTGACAGACCAAGGTGTCGCAAAACTCCAGCAACTCGGCATCACCCACGTCTACGACCTGCGCTCAACCATTGAGCTGAAGCGCCTCGCCGAGGCCGGCAACAACTGTGATGTCCGCGAATGGCCCGGTGCCACCCGCGTTTTCGTCCCTGTATTCCGAGACCAGGACTACGGTCCCGAGGCCATCGCCCTGCGCTACCGCAATTATTCCAGCAATGGCACCGAGGTGAGTGAGGGAGGCTGCTTGACGTCGCTTACAAAGGTTCCGCGTCTAAACTCCGAATCCAGGGCTTCACCAAGGCCTACGCCGACATTCTTCGCGCCGCCTCCGAACAGGACCATCCTCAAGAACCCTTCCGCACCATACTGTCGCATCTCGCCACTCAGAGCCCTCCCTCGCCGTTGCTCGTCCACTGCACCGCCGGCAAGGACAGGACCGGCATCATCTGCGCGCTCATCCTCAGTCTTTGTGGCGTCTCGGATGAGGTTGTCGCCCACGAGTATAGCCTGACCGACATTGGTCTCCAGGATCGCAAGGAGGAGATTGTCAAGCACCTCATGAGTACTGAGGCTATGAAGGGAAATCCCGAGGGCGCGCGTCGCATGATTAGTTCCCGGTACGTCTTTGTTTCCCACCTTCAGGCGCGTTCTTGCAACATACCTGCTGACACCACGTCCAGCAAGGAAAACATGTTGGCCACCCTCGACTTGATCCGCCACGAGTACGGATCGGTCGAGGCGTACGTACTGAACAGATGCCGCTTATCGGCTGGAGACATAGAGCAGATTCGGAAAAACCTCACGGTTGATGCCACTGACGGGCAGGGAGTGGTAGACTGGGTTTCACATACGAAGTATTTGCTTTGATGAAGGAAGTATTTGTTGGGCTTCGGCTCCTCTCCAGGGCTGCCCTTTCGCTGAATTCTCGTCGTTATAGAGATACATGTACATATACAGTAGTTGGTAGTCACAGCCGTTCATCATGAATGACAAACGACACATAGGACCTCGTTTGGGTCCCTCGTCAGTCCCTCGCTCTTTGGGTATACATCGAGCCCTCAGTAGATGTGCTGAGGCTTCTTACATCAAGTGGCAGTAGCAGTAATTCTTCAAGGCACCGAAGTAGGCAGCTTGAACTCACCCTTCTTGCGGTCGTAGAAGGGCACGCCGTATCTCCAACCGACGGCGTTTCTGCCACGGCCGTCCCTGCCGGCATCTTCGGCGTTCATCTCCTTAAACCTGAACTCGAAGCGCCCCGTATCCACGCGGGTCGTATCTTCTTCGTCCCTCCGCAGGCGCAGCTTCTCTTTGGCAATCAGCTTGTCCTCTTCAGCTCGCGTTGTTGCCCTAAACTTTTGTGTCGCCTCATGTGGTGAGACGCCGGCAGCAACATCTTTCCTTAGTTTGATAAGCTCCTTGAGGGGCGAGCGCTCATCAGCAGAAAGCATGTTTCTATGAAAGGCCTTGGCGGCATCCTCTCTAGTGAAATGTCGAGATTCCGACACAGGTACAAACAATTGCTGCATTGTGAGCTTGTGTACGTGGATCTCGTTGATGGGCTCATGCGGCACTTGTGCATGTGGCCTTTGCTTGTGGAGTTCCGTCTTGGGAAGCATGCCCAGAACGGCCTTGGCGTAGGGTTTTGCCAGAGGCTTACGCTGTTGAATCATTATCGTCAGCAGACTGCATGAATGCGTTGTGCAGAAATGTTGAAGAGTAGTGATGGGGAGCAAATCAGAGAGGCTCGCAGTGCCAAAGGTGTAACCATGTTGTGCGTCTTCAAGACTAATCGAATTTTGGAAAGTTGATCATCATACATGCTCGAGTGATCCAGACGGGAAAGAAAAGAAACTTGTTGGGGCTTACCTCGGCTTCCCATTCTTTCTGAATCTCCATCATCCGTACGACTGCAGCGACTCGTCGAACATCCACACCGAGATCAGCCGAAACCGACTTCATCGAATGCTTCTCAGTCTTGATCCGCGTGTAGATCTCTTCCCTCATTTCTTCGCTCAACACGGCTTGACTTCTGAAAAGAGGGTTCAGAGGAAAAGGCTGGTCAGGGGCAGTGCCCACGTATTTTGGGCCATTTCGGGGAGCGTCGCGGAAGTCGGCGCCGCGATTTCTCAGCCACCGGTGAAGATCATGCTGTAATCTTGTCCTTCTGGATTGACGTGCGGTCGTGGAGAATTGACAGGCTGCTTGCGCAGCTGGCAGAGTCCTAGCAGCTTTGCTCGCGTGGGCGTCGCACCACTTGGCTCCGACGGCCAATGGCGAAAATGACGAACCGGCTCGTGGTGGCATTGTGATCAAATTGGTCTGGCCGCAGATGCGAGCCTGAATACACCGGCTATGGCGTAGAGACCATTGAGGGAGAGATGGGTTGGGGGTGTTTGTGTGTTGTAGTGGAAAAGGAAAAAAAAAACCCGAGCCGTGTCCAAAATTTTCTCTCGTTTTCTTCAGAGCTGGAGCACGGACCAGAAGTATCTGCCTCAGTCACGAGGTTAAAACCAACAGCCCCTCCCGTACTCCAGCACCTACCTTAGTCAGCAGATTTGCCCTACCTACCCTCAACGAAGGCCAAGCTGTCGAGCGAGTACTTGTGGTGTCGAATCATGTTGTAGGTGATTGATTGAATGCTTCGTTTGTTTGCTTATTATAATTATTCCGGGCGCATATGCGCTACATGGTATCATTCTGCGCATTGTTTTCGTATATTCCTTTCCCCTGGTGAATATTCCCTCACCAACTTGAGCCACCCCTAAGACGAGCTGGTCGGTAGCAATGATCCCCTGTGCCTATGTAGCGGAAACCGAAGTTCCGTCATGCAGCCATCGTCTTCTCACGGACGCGGCTCCCAACCTCGTAGGCAATATCCGTCGGCGTTGTGGTCCCAGTGCAACGAGATGTTCTTAAATTTACTCAGGCTCCGAGTACTACGAAGCATCGAGGCCGTAGGTTGCCAAGTCAGAACACGTGGACCGGTCGAAGAATGCCTGCGTCTACCCTCAGAAATCGGCATCATGCTGGCACGGAAGCCGTCATCGAGAGTCGATTCTTCTTCGCCTTAGTCTTCAGAGCGGCAGACTTCTTGGCTGCGTCTGTCTCATCGTTTCGCTGGGAAAAATCCTTCCATCTCCTCCAGCCGTCGAAGTCAATCAGGGCTTGCATGCAGCCCCATTCCATGACCTTCCTCTCCAACCAAACAAAGTTGACTGGCTGTGGAACAATTAGCGGTGAGTCCAAGACGATGCACAGATAACGAAGGAGCACGTACCTTTGTGAGGAAATCATTGCAACCGGCCGCCAGAGCCTCGTGTCTGTCGCTCTGAAGAGAACTGGCAGTCAGGGCAACAATGATAACAGGACTCTTGAAAAGTTCCATGTTTGTCAAACGGTCCTTCTCTTCCAGCTCGCCGTTGGAAGACTCCGGCACACTGGATGCGGACGAGGAGAAAACACCGATCGAGTTCACCCGCTCCAATCTCCGGATTTCTCGGGTGGCAGCCAAACCACTCATGATGGGAAGCTGAATATCCATCAAGACAAGATGGAAACCGCCAGTTCTCCACATAGAGACCGCGTCTCGACCGTTGACGGCCGTCTTCCATCTGACTTTCAGACGCTTCACGAAAGCTTCTAGCAGCTTCAAGTTGATTGGATTGTCCTCCACGATCAAGACATTGATGGGCGGCACTCCGCCGTTGAGTATGCCGGCCGGTAGTGTTGGATGGTCTATGACCTTCTTCGTCTTCTTGGGTCGAGAACTTGAAGGCCGGGGAGACGCAACCCTCGGCGGAGGGGTCGCCACCCTCTGCTGAACTTGCTGCACTTCGGGGGCGGGAGGCGTTGGGAGCGGCGGCGGAACCGGGGCTGCCGCCGACTGTTCTGATGCATTTGAATGCGTTCTAGAAGGTGGCAGTCTCGGATGAAATGAGTGTGAGGGGTGATTGCCGGTAGCGGCGGCAGCGGCGGCAGCCATGGACTGAGCATTGGCGGTGTTGAGTATGGTGGGGGAAGACGTGTGTGTTCTTCCCAATCGCGGACGTTCGGGTCGTTCTCTGTACGCCCTGGAACGCGTGCCTCCCGGCGAGGGTATCGGCGGTATTTGGCCGGTGCCCAGTACGGCAATGGAGTGTGCATGGGGGGCATGTGCGTGAACGGGATGGGCGGGGTGAGCCGTGTGCGCCGGGACAGCGGTGACGGGAGCCACGACGGGCACAGGCAGGTTTGGGGAGGGCAGAGCTCCGACGGCGACGGGAGGAAAGTAACCTTCCCCGGCCTCGGAGGGTCTGACTTCGTCGGGGTAGTAGACGGCGGTGGCATGCGTCGGGACGCGAGGAGATGGTCTCGGTGTACGGCGAGTCGGTATGTCGATGACCAGGGCTTCGTCGACAGTCTGTCCGCCAGGGAAGTATGCGTCAAGGGTCCGACCCATTGGCTCTTCCGGGCCAAGGAGGCGATCCTGCCTTTGCTCCCGCGGGCAAATGCGCAACGTGAGGTCAGGAGAGTCAAAATGCCTGCCGAGGGAGTTGGCATATTTTCTCAGAATCATGTCGCGCACGTCGTCGACCAGGTCATCTTCGTTGATGGTGATGAGAGTGGGAGAGGCGCCGGGACGCCTAACCCAGACTTTTCGGGTCACCATGTTTCCGTTGATGGGAAGCAGCGATTCGGCGATGGACGGGTCGACTTCGTGGTTCGAATGCGCAGCGTCGAGCAGGGTGCGGATTAGTGTCGTTTGGCGGTTGGGGAGGAGGCTCTGTCGGCGGAAAGGAGCGTCTGGGCGAGGCGAGGTGGGCGAAGTCAGCGGAATGGTAGTTGCAAGAGGCGTCGGGGTGCCTATGGCATAGCTGAGGGGGTCGAGATGGTCGATGTTGTGGTGAAGGGCAAGGTCGGATTCGACGACAACAACAGGAGCGGCGCCAGTTTTAGGCGGCGGCTGCAGCGGCAGGGTTGTTTGGGGGTGCTGCAGGTGCTGCTTTTTGTCGTCGGGAGCGGCCGATTGCGACGACGAGAGTTGAGCGGGCAGGGTCTGGTCTTCGTTGATGCTTGGGAGGTTGCTGCTAGTTGCGGTCGCAGTTGAAGTAGAAGTTGTAGGTGAGCGCAGATCGTTTCCTATCGGTTCAACATGGCTCGCCAGACGTCGGTCAGGCGCGGGAGGCGGCGCCAAGTCGGCGTCGGCGTTGGGGTGTGGCTTGTGGTCCATGTCGTCTTCTTCCAGCTGGAGGTCTTCAGTAGTAGTGTCTCTGGGCCGTTGTTCATCCCCGTTCTCGGTGGAACCAATGGTCAGCAACGTTGTGCTGCTGTGAAGCGCACTGGCGTGGTCAGCATTGCTGCTCTGGTCGTCATGTTGGTGTTTTGGCCGAGGTTGAAGCAGCGACGTGAGTCGTGAAGGATGGTCAAGGTCAAGGTCGCCGCCGTCCGGTTGGGCATCGTCTTCTCGATCATGGGGGCTTCCAGCTGCTGTCAGTCTCTGCCGCAGCTGTACGGATAGCGGGTGTTCAGCGCCAGGTTCAGGGCTACCGGGGCATGGCGTGTGTGGCAAGGACCGGGACTGCTGGGGCTGTCCAAGTACGGATAGGTGTGGCTGTGGCTGGGGCTGGTGGAGGTCTTGGTGTTGGTTCTGAGAGCTCGAGGCGGTTCCCGCGGCCGAGGATTGCCGCGTGAGCGAGCTGTGTGCATCGCCGTTGGTGCCGTTGGTGGACGTCAGTGAAGGGGCAGCCGAATTTCGTCGGGAGAATTTTGCTCGCAGACGAGCTCTGATGTCGCCGGCTGCACCCATGAGGGCTCAGGCTCACATGCAGCGCAAGGGACGGCGCGGTCTCAAGGTGGTGAGACGGGAGGAGTGAGGAAGCGTGTCGTTTGTAGGTATCGTACGTGTCGCGTCGTGTGGCGGTGGCGGGTGATTTCTTTGGGGTTCGACGGGACCTGATCAGGTGCCGTCCACTGGCTCGACAGTCGACAGATGATGTGAGTCCGATAGGTCGGATGTTCCGGGGATTCTGTCGTGTCTGAGGGAGGAATGATGAGACGGGATGAATACAAATGGAATATATTGGCGAAAGGAGTGGGCAGAACGATAAAGATGCAGAAAAGAGAATGCGAAGACAACAAAAGAGATGGAGAAAATGACAGGCCGCCTTACTTTGGACACAGCAGAAGGGACTGGACGAGAGACGAGACGGGGTGGGATGAGATGGGATGAGACGGGATGGGATGGGATGGTAGGAAGGGATAAATGATGCCGCAGTATCTTGTACGGTAATTTCACCTCATTGGACCTTGACCTGCGAGTCTCGGGCAAACCAAAGGTGTAAGAGGTCAAGCAAGGTGAAGGTGAAGGAAGTACTCAGTAAATTCTCAATAAGCCTCCCACACCCGAACCAACGGGACAAAACGAAGAGGCAAGATACCTCGAATACCAATGCCAAAGTGCGTGCAGGCTGAGTGAGGCTGAGTGCTGGTTGATGGATGGTGAAAGGGAGAGACAACTTTGGCCAAGATGATGTGATATTCGAAGGCGAGATGAGATGCCTCGATTCCCAAAGTCAATGCTCTGTTAAGCACTCGGAGTAAGGTATTCATCAACCTCCCCTCCAATGCTGTCCAGTACTGCGGTAGTATGATCGTAGCGCGGCGTGCTTCGTTGGCAGCTTGGACAGGGAGTCTGGGGTGAGTGACGAGCCAATGGAGGCGAACCGAGCAAAGCAAAGCAGAGCAGAGCTGAACTGAACAAAGCAAAGCAAGAAAGCAGACGGGAATTGGAGACGAAATTGTGCCAAAATCCTGCTTTTCTTCTTCATTTCCCATGGATTCGACAACTGCAGCCCATCATTCCCGTCTTATGGCCCCCCCTTTTCCCCTTTTCCCCATTGGCTTCAGATCCCTGCCAGGCCAGCTCATCTCTCTCTTCAGTGGACTACGGCACTGTTGGGGGCTCTCGACATCGAATACGATGGGGGGTTTCAGGGAGTCTAGCGGCCTTATTCTTGCGAGCTAGCTACCTGTGGCGGTTTTCGGTCCGGGGTCCCACGTCTACCTACCTACCAGCCACAACACTGTGAGCGGCCACAAGTTGACCCTCCTTCATCGAGATCTCGCGCGTCCGTCCATCCCGAGTACTTTGGGGGATCGAAAACCCAAAAATCATACGTCCTAATTACCTATCCGTACTTGAGTGTGCATTGGTCATTGTGGCGTTGATGCGAACATATCCCGTTCATTTAAATAATAATTCAACATCGATTTAATGCTCGTATTAGGTAAGGTACTTGCCATTGGTTACAGACCAGACAGACAGATGCCTTACATAACCCGCTAGTTGATACGTACCACGACTTGGAGCCGGAGTTCAAGGAGCGACCCACCTCATGGCCATATTGACATCTTCAACTGGCATCTTCCTCTCATATAAAAATCAACATTAAGTTCCAATAGCATAACCAGACACTCGCCCGATCATGCCCGCCTTTCTGGAACCCTCAAACCCGCAGAGTCCCCGGTACGATAAGCCAGTCCCCCGGCCGCCAAAATCACCCAACAAGACCAGGGACGTTCGTGCCCACAATCGCCGCCGCGAGTTTCTAATCAGGAATCCTGGTTACTTCCAAACCACCGAACATCAACTTGCTGGTCTGTTATTCTCTACAATCTCACGGCTTACCACATTACATACTGACACCATCATAGACCCCCTGCTCTACGATACCTTAGTGCGCAAGTTCCAGACGCCCGCCGAGCGAGAAGCCGAAAGCCGCGCCAAAGGCTACTCCCGTGTTCTAGAGGAGTCTTTGCTAAGAGGAGAGGCACGTCTCGCTGATCTCAAGTCCTCGGTCGATGGCGGCGCAGCTTCGTCAACCGAACCTGCCAAGGACTTCACCACTGAATCCGACCTGTCCAAGACTCAGACCAAGGAAGAAGGGCTGGAGAGATGGGTTGAGTTCCTGACCGAGCGCTTCGTTCATGGCCACGACGACGACTTCGACTACAGCCAAGTCGATAACGACGATGACTTCGACACCATGGAAAGACGCGATGCCGAGGATGCTTGGTTTGATGAGGAAGACCCCGGCTGGGCCAGCGACACAGAGGATACTCATACCGCTCGTCCTGAGACCCGGAAGCAAAAGCAAGGCGAAACTGGCATCCAGGACTTCTGAGCCGCACATGATGCACTCATCATCGAGGATCCAAGGCTATGTCCAAGACTCGTGTGTTTCAATGCGCCGACATCAGTAGCTACAAGACTTTTGCGCAATGCTTCTGGCATCTCGGCTAAACTCGTCCGGTCTTGAGGCTGCCGCTTGCCGGCAGAGTCTCAACATGTGGTGGCATTCGACAAGTCTGGCTTGGTATTACGGAGACTTTGCCGCAAGCCCGTCTTCTTTCTGCACGAGAATGGCACGATGCCTGTAGATGCCAATTCAACAACATGAAGGAGGTCACGCCCAACCGACCGCTGCGGCCAATACACCAAAGGATGAAAAGTACATTGACGACAGCGTCAAGATGGCTGGCCGCCTTGGCGGTGGCCCGGTCCTAATTTGGGGCGCATCCTGTCCAGGTCCAGGATGGGGTAAACCGGTAAAATGCGCTGGATAAATTCAAAAAAAAAAACGCTGGCTAGTCGTCCCGCGTTCCACCCTACCGGGCCAACATCTTCACATATCACCCGCAGCCGCAGTCACCTCGTTGGTGGGGAAAGGGTGATTCACCATACCTATTTAATGGTCTTCTCTCTTTCTTTTCCAGTCGAAAGGTCCCAAAACTGAACCCTAGTATTCGACTGCCTTCGCGTCTCGTGGAAAGAGTACATCGACGGTGGAATTTGTTGTTCCAAGTCTTCAGGACCCCAATTTCCACGCCCAAACCACCCCGCATTCCCAAACCACCCCCGCATCATTTCCCCTCCCCCTCTTTCTCCCCCCATTGTCACTCACGATGGCGCCCCTCATCAACCACCTCTACACGGCCGACCCCTCGGCCCACGTCTTCAACGGCAAGATCTACATCTATCCTTCTCACGACCGGGAGACCGATATCAAGTTCAACGATAATGGCGACCAATACGATATGGCCGACTACCATGTCTTCAGCACGTCCTCGTTGGACCCTCTGGAGCCAGTCGTCGACCACGGCGTCGTCCTGAAGACCGAAGACGTTCCCTGGGTCTCCAAGCAGCTCTGGGCCCCTGACGCCGCTTTCAAGGACGGAAAATACTACCTTTACTTCCCGGCCCGGGATAAGCAGGACGTCTTCCGCATCGGCGTCGCCGTCTCAGACAAGCCCGAGGGTCCCTTCAAAGCCGATCCCGAGCCCATCAAGGGTAGCTACAGCATCGACCCGGCCAGCTTCGTCGACGACGACGGTCAGGGGTACCTCTACTTTGGAGGATTGTGGGGTGGACAGCTGCAATGCTACCAGAAGGGCAACGACGTGTTTGATGCCGAATGGCTTGGTGCTAAGGAGCCCACCGGAGAGGGAGTATACGCGCTTGGCCCCCGCGTAGCCAAGCTCTCCGATGACATGCACCAATTCGATGGTGAGGTGCAGGAGATTCTCATTCTTGACCCCGAAACCAAGAAGCCTATCCCGGCGGACGACCACGACCGCCGCTTCTTCGAGGCCGCTTGGCTGCACAAGAGGGACAACGTCTATTACTTCTCTTACTCCACCGGTGACACCCACTACCTCTGCTACGCAACAAGCGACAGCCCCCTGGGACCGTTCACATACGGCGGCCGCATCTTGGAACCTGTTCTGGGATGGACGACACACCACTCCATTGTCGAGTTCAAGGGCCAGTGGTGGCTGTTCCACCACGACTGCGAACTGAGCAATGGCGTGGATCACCTTCGATCCGTCAAGGTGAAGGAGATCTTCTACGACGGAGATGGCAAGATCACGACAGCAAAGCCGCAGTAGTAAGTCAGGTTGATGATACGTCGCATTTTTGGGTTGTTTTCTTGTATCAATATAAGCTGTCCGAGACATTCCACGCCGTCAGCGCCAACCAGAGAGCCGGAGCCACTGTCGGGCTCAAATTAGTTTAATGATGTTTTCTCGCGTTCCTATCCCGCCTTTTTCCGTATTCCCGCGTCTGAGTGACGTATTCCAAGTACATGAAGTGGTGCTTAACATAGCGAGGCATGATGATGTATCATACTAGGGGGGTATATGGTGTGTTAGTTTAGCTTGGGTGATTTGTTACCCACGACAAAGGAAACCAAAATGATGATGACGATAACCCGCACGGACGTGTAAATCTCTCACTCCCTCTTTTCTCAAACCGCATCGACAACTCCAAAACGCAGCTTGTTCAGTGCTTCCTCATACTTCGCGGGGCTGTGGTCGATGAGCATGCTTGTGCCGAATCGGACCTCCCTGAACCGAGATTCGACATCCCTCACATACTTCAGGACAATTCTCCGGGCCGGTCGCCCAATATCTTCCTCCCCAGACAAGAGGAACGCGTCACGTCTCAATACACGTGTGCTTTCAACGAGAAAGACTTCTCCGGGCGGAAGGAGCTTCATGCTCATCATGTTGGACCGCAGCGTCGTCAGCGCAGACACGCTCCATTTGTCTTCTTCGGCCGAACTCGACCTGCTGCTGTTTGTGTACCACTTGTCCACTAGGCCGGACTGGAAAGCCTGCCAGATCCGCTGCCTCACCTCGCCCTTTGCCTCGTGGTTGTCGCTCTTGAAAGCGAGGGCGACTGCCTGGAAGTCGTGCAGGACACCCAAGGACAGGAAGGGGACCAAGTCGCTGCCGTGGACAACACTCGTGACGAGGCCCCGTGTCGCCCTGCGCAGGGACGGCGACATGGTTCCCGGCGGTCCGTACGCGTAAACATGGATGGGACGGCCTGACGGCAGGCATATGTGCGTTGTGTCCGTCTCCAGAAAACTGCTGTCCCCTAGAAGACGACGGTGAGGCTCTGATGAAGTGACGAATCCCGTGCCGGTGGACGAGGGCTCTGCAAGCATCGTGCCCAACAGAGCAGTGACGCCGCCGCCCAGTGAATGACCGCAGAGGACCAGGCCATAGTCGCTGAATTCATCCAGAGCCTCCTTCAGCGTGTACAAAACACGACCATCACCCCCGTACAACAAACGGCGGGCAGACGCGTGAATCCCCTTGTGCACCTTGTATGACTTGCCTCGCCAGTACAGGTTATCATAGTCGCAGGCCATGTCCGCCAGGACGTCTTCAAATCCGAGGGTTCCGCGACACGCCAGGACGACTGCTTTGGACTCGTGATCCAAGGAGACGTAGTGGACCAACGGGACACCAGTTCCCGTGGAGCCGGTGGTGTCGGAACCTCCCTGGGGGTCGACGAAGGAAGCGAGGAGGATACTCGTAGCCTCGGATTCGGTATGGTGGGCGAACGAGCGGATTTCGTGGTGGGTGTCGTCCAAGGCCCTCAAGAGAGGCATCTCCTTGGAGATGCCCATGAATTTGAGGAAGTTGGATCCGTATGACGCCGAAGAAAACCGCATGTAACGGGTGACGTTGCGCAGGAGGTGGAAGGCGGGGAAGACTCCGTCGACGGTTCCTGCTCTCCTCAAGGTGTCTATGGCTTGAGAATCCGTGTAGGCACTCTTCTGGTAGTATGAAGACAGCACCAGCGACGTCTGCGAACCTGTTGTCGCAATGCTGTACAGACTCGGCGTGTTCACATGCGAGCGGGCCCTGCGGGATTTCATGGGCGACGAGGGTTTCTGGTCCACAATGTCCCTTTCGGATCTCGACTTGGGTATACCGCCCTGGCCCTGACCGTCCCGGCGACCATAGCCCGGGGAGTGAGGTCGGTATCCGTCAAATGCGTGGAACGAATATGTATCTGTTTGAGAGACCACTGAGTCACGGCGACGCTCATGCACGGAGATGTAGCTAGCCCGAGACGAGCTGCGTGGGACAGGCGAAGGTACGTCGTAGTTGCGGCCTCGCGAGTTGGAGGATGCAGTCGGCCCCATGGCCCTGCTCTGCGACTGACGACTTGGCTGGTTCGTGCTCCGCGTCGTCCGTTCTGGCGGTGTGGGTTTGGGCGTCTGCTTCACTTTCCCGGCCGAGTGCGAGTTTCCGGGACCGGGCCCATCTCGACTGAACAAGTTTGAAATGTTGGACGTGGTCCCCCTTTTCAACGCTTGCCTGATGCCGCCCTTCTTCTCGGTAGTCTTATCGACCGCCTTGCCAGTGGACGCAGACTCGGGTTTGGGCCTCCTGGAAAACGACTTGTTCTCCGAATGAGACGTGACTGTAGTTTCTTGCCGAGGTTTCACGGGCAAGGGCGCAAGGGGTGCACGCTGTCGCTTTTGATTAGGGGCATTCTCGGGGTTCTGCTTGGGGGTAGGGATCTGCGAGGCTCGAGGACTGGTGGATGTCGGCGAGGGAAACCCAGGGCCCGTCTTCGTGCGTCGCGGCGTCGGGTTTGGCGTCGTCTCTTGTGCCGATGCGGAGGGGACACTCCGTGGCGGCGCCGACTTGGGGGGCACTGGCGGAGGAAGCTCGTCGAAGTCGAAGTCCCGGCCGTGATCGTCAGACTCTTCGGTGTCTTCCAGTGATTCCACCTTGCCCGTGTAATGATCCGGCTCTTCGAGGCCTCGGAATGTAGTGCTTCGCTGCTTGCTCTTGTCCACCCGATAAACCACACGATATGTCGGGTTGTCGGCAAGACTGGAGCTTTGGCGCGCCAGTTGATCGTTTTGGTGCTCCGTAGAGGGCAGGACCTCGCGCTCGACGACTTCGACTCCCGGAGGCGGCGTGACAGCGGGAGGCTCAGGGCCTGTGAAGTCGACAGTGATCATCTTGCGCGTCAGCGTCGTCGTGGATATGGAAACGCTCGTGTCCGAGGGTAGAGAACGCATGATCTGGTTCTTGAGGCGGATCTCCGGCATGTCGTCGTCGTCCTCGTCGTCGCTGGTGTCATGGCCTCCGTGACGCTCGATAGCGGCCAAGACGTTGGGGCTGGGCTGCTCACCCGGCATCGACACCAAGATATCCGGACCCTTGCTCTTGTAGCGACCCTTGTGTACGCCGTACAGACTGTCCTCGTGGACATCCACTCGCTCGCCATCGTTGAGCACGACCACGTCCCACACGATCTCTTCGAAACCCAGGCGCCTAGTCTCCTCCTCAAGAAAGCGGCGGCACTTCCGCTGCAGATATGCCAAGGCGCACAAGCCCATGACGAGATCGACAACACCGACGCGCTCGCCCTCGACTCCAGTTGCCGGGTTCTGGAATTCGCGGCGGATCAGAGTGATGATGCTCGCGATGGCACGTGACGAGTCGGTAGAGCCGAAGAACTGGTCGAGAGACGACAGCAAGAGTTGGGATATCTCGGACACGACAGAGAAGGTGGTCCCCGTCATCTGGAAGCCGGTAGTTGTCCAGAAGACGATCTGGGACATGGCATGGTGTAGATGCTCCAAGCTTCTCTCCAAGACGGTCTCGGCATCGGCCCTGGCCAAATCACTGTTGGACCGGGTGAGCATGTCCTTCCCGGCTCTGCTGAGTATACCCTCAAGCAGACCGCGACCCAGCTCTAGACTGGAGAGGGTAGTGAACTTGGCGGCATCGAAGCCGTATGAGCTGAGGAGGGTGCCGACGCGGATAGCAAGACATGTCGAGCGGGTGGCGAGACTGACGGCCTTTGCGATAGGAGCCGGGAGCACAGTACGGCCTTGTTGGGCCTCGAGAGGGACATGGACCAAGTAATGCGAGTTCTCATCCAGCTCGTCGTCTGAATCCATGGTTTCCGGTATCAGTGCCGCTGGCGGCGCCAGTGCAGTTGATGGAGTAGGCGTTGGAGCTCGCATACGGAGGCACGGAGCATCGAGGATAGGCAGGCAGAGACGTCGGGGGTGTGATAGAGTTCCGGGTGTCAAGCTGTCAGGACTGGACGAGATTTCACCAACATATTATACCTGCTCTGCTGCCGCAACTCTGAAAAGGGTAGGTAGGGTAGGTAGGTTTGTTGGGTATCTGAGATGTGTGGCGAGGAAAAGCAAGTGCAAGGCGGAGGAGTAAAAGACAGAGAGAGAAGAGAGAACGACAAGCAGAATGCAGAGCACGAAGGCTGAGGAGGGCCTTCCGTCAAAAGAAGACAGCAGAAGGAACCGAAGAAGTGAAGAAGTGAAGAAGAAGAAGAATCAAAAGAAAGGCGGATTGATGTGAAATGAGGTGAATTGAGGAAAGGGGAGAGACAGGTTGGCGGCCAGTGGCAACAATCAAGCACTCAACAGGCCGAGCGAGAGACAGAGAGAGAGAGAGACGAGAGAGTAGCGCAAAAGAGTAGTAGAAGAGCAGAGCAGGCCAGATTAGGCAAGGTTAAGAAACAAAAAGTAGCACAAGACGTGTTGGGGGTGTCAAATAAGAGTAAGTAAGGTAAGGTACCGGCGCATTTGATGCGAAGGAAGTGAGTGCAAGGAGTGTACCCTGTCCGGGTATGTTTTGGTGTTGGTGTCTGTAACTGTGTAGCAGTCACTTTTTTATTTTTTGTTTTTATTATATTTTATTTTTTCAGCATGGTAGCAGGGAGCAGAAGGAGAGTGTTCTCCGTACCTCCTAAAATGTGTTGACCACAGCGCAGCACAGCACCTCACAGCACAGCACACCCCGGCCCCCTTCTATGATGGCTGGGTTGACGTGTTGAGCCGCTGCATCCCGTCCGAGGTGCCGCGCCAGGGCTCCGACTCCCAACTCCAACTGGACTCCAATAGGAGTAAGTGGGACGTTGGGTGTGGCAGCATGTGATTGCATTCTGTGGGGGATGTTCATGCGCAACGACGGCGGCGAATGCAGTGGTGACGGCGCTGTCGACGGCGTGCTTTTGGTTCTGGGGGGAAATGCCATGGGATGGGACGGGCTGATTGTGCATGTGTAGTACTACTGCCACTTTGGCATGTATATCACCTACTGCGACAACATGCAAAAGATACCTCGTCGCCTACCTACTGTCAAGACCGTGTGGTGCCGTGGGATGAGATGGGATGGATCGAGGCGAGGCACTTGGGGATGGCCTTCGAGTTCGTGATACTCGAGCGCCACTAACATGCCCCTAGTCATTAGGCAAGCCTAAGGTAGGCCTGCTGGAAGTACCATGTAGGTAAGGTATCTTGATTTAGACGCATGGCCGTAACCGTTCGTATCTCGCCCTACCTACCATACATAGTACGTAGTATGGCTATTGGATGGCAAACTCACCACCCATCCGCATCTTCGACCGTTGAACGAACGGTAGAGTCTCTGCTTCTTTGTGTCTGCCGGTTGAAGCAAAGACTTGTTGGAAAGAGGCTCTCTCGTGTGCTCAGATCGCCTCCAAAACGCCTCTCGCCGTTTCTAGCTGGACATTTCCGACTCCAGACTCCAGACTCCAGACCCCAGACTTCAGACTCTGTTGTAAGTCAAGGTGACTCGGGGGGCTCCGGCTGCCCGAAAGTCGTGTTCGTTTTCCAGCTTCACCACGCACAACAGGTCACTCGAGTAAGGCACCAAAGGCTTCACCTTCAGCACACCTGATCTGATCGTCTTGTTCCCAAACAACTTAGCGAGCCGACATTCCAGCCGTGTGGCGGGGCTATCCACGGAGGAATAGTCCCGGGTATTCTGTACTGGTACGCCGAAAAGTCGTCAGTCGCGCAGTGTCATTCGTCACCTCGTATCTTTCTCGTGCCTAAGAGATACATAGTGCTCTGTACGGTAAAGGAGTAAATGCGCGTGGCTGCCATCCAAACAGTCGAGTAAACACAAGGACCGAACGAGTGAGTCTGGAGGGGCAATTCACGCTAGAACACAAGCTGAAACTGTGGCATTCCACGCGGTCGGAATGCTGCGACTGCGCCGTAGAGCATGCCTACGTAGGTAGTAGCATGTTGGTCGCCTTATCACTGGCACGGACAGCTCGGGATCGGATCCCCCTTTTCCCTGTACCTTGGATGTCATTCCCCAGGCTCGCATCTTCTTGTTTTGTTTCCTTGCCTTGCCTTGTCTCTGGACTCATTACTCTGGCCTTATCTTTTGTCATCTGTGCGGCTCCTCAACTCGTTGATTGCAGTACCCGCCCTTATGCCATCTAAGATTCCTCCGCGTGGCTGTTCACTCTGGCTGTAGTACATGGCAATTCATGTGAACGAACTACTTGCCTCTCAGCCCTAGGTTTGCAGACACACGGCCCTCTGGAAAACAACATCGTCAAGAGTCCGAGATCGAAACCGCCCCGCCACGAGAAGCCACAAGTCTTGTTGAAGAAAAGGGGACGCGGGATGAAGGTCATTGCGCTATTCCGCTCGGCTCTCTCGCCACGATTCCATCGTCTTCTTCCCCGCCGAGTTATTCTTCTCGGTCGTTCCCTACGCCTTCTTCAACTACACAGAGTAAGGGAAAGTTGACGAGGACGGCAATTGACTTTGCGTGGTAGAGCCGGCCAGCAAAGCGCCATAACCCAGACCTTTCTTTCATGGGAATTCAGCCGTCATCCCGTTCACTCCGTAATTTGTTCAAACACATTTTGCTCTCTTGACCATTTTGCCCTCTTAGTTGTGCGAGTTGGAGTCTTGTTGAGCGTCTGTCAAAGGTGTGGTTTTCTGGCCAACGGGATCGACAGGTCCGCTACCGAAACGTCACTGACATGCAGGCACACACGAACAAGGTTGGAAATCGCCTCGGCTGAGGTACGGACCTTGACATGTCTACATGCTACCTTGCAGTCGATTGCCGTGGGGGCTTACTCTCCGAGGTCTTCGGCATGATGAGCTGGCAAAGATAGGCGCATCCAATGACTGCTGGCAATACCTGCATCACTAAATCTCTTGTGCTGTGTAGATTTCACTTCGGCGGAACTACCGATACAAGGTCCGAACCACCATGATACTTATTGACAGAATGGGAGTTCTTCTGGCTGTTTTGATGTCTCCACGCCTGAAAGATGGAGAGGATTGACGCTCCCCCAGGGAAGGAAGGTATCCGTACTATTGCTATGAATAGACGCACGAGAAACAAGCAGCAAGATCATCCCGTGTGGATGGATACTACACTGACTTGCTGGGCCCCTTTTCACTCCTGCAGCTTGGGAATAAGCACAGCCAATGGGGCGCCACCTATTCCCGTCATGCAGAGGCTGAGCAGTTCAAGAGAAGCTCCAGCTGCCCGCTTGGAAGTGGCACCTTGTTCTCGCAGGCAGTCTTACGCAGCGTGGTGACGAGGTGGTGACCTGCAGGCTGCAGCAGGGGCTTCAAGCCGTGAGATGGGATGCTCTTCAGGCTTGAGAAATAGGTAGGTAGGGTGAGGATGAGGATGAGGATGAGTGTGCAAAGGTGAAGCCACAGATTAATCTCAATCCCAAGCTCAAGATTGAATGAGTGTCCCTACTCAACTCCTGAACAAGCTTTACTGAGCTGTTTGCGGATGTTGTCAGGACCACCCCACGTCGTCAAGACGTCCATTCCGTCGTCAATGATGACGGCAGGGGCTGGTGAGTGAGAGTGAGATGCCCGGAGAGTGAGACTGAGTGACGGGCACAGGGCACAGGGCACAGGGGTGCGTGGGGGGAAAGCAAGGAGGGCACCTCACATCAGATCCAGGCACAACCTAGGGTCCAGGGCAGCATGTCAGCGCCCCCCAGTCCTTGATGGCCCTCCGCCTACCGTCACCGTCACCTTGGCTGGTGTAGATCTGTGATGGGTGCCAATTGCCCACCTCCAGTGAGATTATTGGGGGAGCATTTGTTTATAGCGTGTACGAAGATACCTATTCGTGGGCAGGTAGGGAGAAAGGTGGCATCCATCGCCTAGTCCGGCGGATACGAAATAGGTAGGTAGCGACGTCTGCAAACATCGTGTTGTCCACCTCGGGCAGTGTCAATAAACCACAGCAACTCCCCGTATCTCCTCTCCACCTCTTCTTTCCTCTGCTTCTTCCACTTCAATCCCGTCCATCTTCTCCTCGCCATCCTGTTCTCCGACACCCCGACATCTCTAATCTTCACCGCTTCGCTGTCTTGCCTCGCGGCCGAACCCAACAACGCCTCCTCTTCGTCTTCGATCCCCCCAACGAAAAGCGTCACCGCTCAATTGGTTCAAGAATCCTCAACTTGCATCGGTCGGCTTCGATTTCGATTTCGATCTCGATCCGACTCCCTCCAACCGCCGTCAAGGCCGAACAACCTCTCACCGCCGAACGAACCTCGCTCTCCCACCCAGTGATCGCAATGGCTGAAGCGGGCCTCTTCTCCGACGACCTCATCTCTCCCACAGTCGCCTCCTCTCTCCCCGAAGGCTACGTCGTTCGCTCCCTCCGCCTGTCCGACCAAAAGGGCTTCCTCGACTGCCTGCGCGTCCTGACTACCGTCGGCGAGATTTCCGAGCCGCAGTTCGCCGAGCGTTACAACTGGCTGGCCAAGAGCGATGGATATTACATTCTCGTCATCGAGGACACGAGCAGGAAAATGGTTGTCGGAACCGGTGCCTTGATCGTCGAGCGCAAGTTGTGAGTTGCGGCCAGTCTCGCAGCTTGATTTCTTACCGCGGGGAATTTATGCTGACCACCTCCTTTTCCCCCAATGCAGTATCCACAGCCTGGGCCTCGTCGGGCACATTGAGGACATCGCCGTGGCAAAGGACCAACAGGGCAAGAAGCTCGGTCTGCGCATCATCCAGGCTCTCGACTACATCGCCGCGAAGGTCGGATGCTACAAGAGCATTCTCGACTGCAGTGAGGCCAACGAAGGCTTCTACGTCAAGTGCGGCTTCAGGAGAGCCGGCCTGGAGATGGCACACTACTATGAGGGAGACAAGAGTAAGGCCCAGTAGCCTGTTCCTGTTGCTTTTCCCCGTTGTCAACGCGGGTCGCCCTTATCGTCTCGCTTCGTGTCGGGCATTCTTCCGCCTCGACTCGATTCGACTCGACTCGACGCGAAATCCTGGCCCAGTTTGACTCTTTTCGGTGTTGTACTAGACAGACTTGGATTGCATCGGTGACTGCTGATGTTGGGTACCTGCAGGACTGAAGCTCTAGACCAGCTAGACCAGACGAGCCCCCACTTCGCTCCGGTAGACGACGAGGCCAAGATATAAGAACAAAAGAAAAATAGAAACGATCAATCCCGCCATATGTCCGTACCTTGTTTTTTACCTACTCTCCACCAGCGGCACTCGGGGAGGTGCTTGGTCGTCACCGAAACATGGCACCGAAGCATGGCCCCAAAACACGGCCTTTGCCGCCTCGACCGTTACCTCGTCTGCCTGTTGTCCTGGCGTCTGTCGAAGCTGTCTGTGGCTTTCCCGCTGCCTCACACAGCCTCACTTCAGCTCACAGTACCGACAAGTGGTGTCGTTCAGCCGTCATCGTAATATGCAGTAAGACCACTGCTGACTCTTGTCTGCGTCCCAGTGGCTGGCAACCCGTGACAGCATTAGGCGCCGCCAAGGAGGAGCCCGGCACCGTCCCGAGAACCCAAGGGTCTAGCCGTTGTGTCCGTGACAACCGGTCGGAGCGTCCGCCAGTGAATCGCGGATTGTCGAGGAGTGCTCTGCCCCGCGTTTCACATGCCATGAATCAAGACGAGTTCTCTCCAAACATGCTGCGTAGGGCACATTGCGTGTGGTCTTCAGACGCTGCTGGTTTAGCTGGGCGTGGTCTCCGATTTCAGCGCTTTCTTTTTGTGACTTGGGCAACAATATCTTTGAGAGTACGTTACGGGGAAGGCCGAAAAGGACAAAGGAGGCCCAACTCCGGATCCGGTAGAGAAACATATGGCACACAAGTCCGGGCATTGTCCGCCATCCTCGAGGGATTCTCGGAGCTCCCCTTGTTCCCTGGACCTCGAGACTCTGACGTACCCTTCCTTTCAGCTCTCACAAACTGTCAGAGTCAGGCCAGACGCGCCTCTCGGATCTTAACATTTGTGGCCAAAGCGCCGCTCGTCGCATATGTGCTGACGGAACTGATCCTGATCATTGCGCCGTCCGTCCCGTTCGTATAAGACGGCGGCACTGCGGCGTCCCCTTTTCTTAGATGCAGTTCCTGCGTCTCACGATCGGACAACGGATATCCCCAACCACCAGAGTCCGACAAAAGCCACCACGAAAGTATATCAACTCCTGCAAGTCCACCCCTTAAACTCCGAGCGCGCGTTGATTGGATCCCCGAAAACGCGACTGCAGATCGGCACGTAGTGTGTATAAATTAGCTCTTTAGCCCGTCTGCTTTTAGTTTCCTTTTCCGCCATGATTGAGGACTTGCATTGTGCCATCGCTCGCGTGCGAATTGCTTCCCTTCAGTCAGAGTAAGTCGATCATTATCCACACTGCCGTAGATTCCCGCCGACGTAATCGGGTGCCCGTCCACAAGCTCACACCTACGCAGAGTCATTAATAGATCAGCTACCCGTGAGGTTGTACGTCGCCGAAGCAACAAAGTGAAGCCCATATTCCTTGCCAAGGGCCGACCTCCGTTGTTTACGAAACAGAGAACCGTCCGCGTCATATCCTGAATCATTCATCATGGCGCCGCACAAGCTTCCGGAGCAGGATGGCAAGCGGCAATGGGCGATGGGCACCGAGGCCTTTGAGCGCAAGATGCCCCATCACCAGGGAATCAAGGCTCTCTGGGAGACCAAGTGGAAATTTCCGGTATGTCGGAGACAAACTCTTCTTTCAGAGAGTTCAAATACTGAATGTTCGGTAGTGCACCAAGAGTGTGTACCCCTTCCACGACGGCCAGTACGAGGATTTCGAGCCCATTTTCGAACACCTGATCAAGAACAACATCAACGATGGGACCTCGACCGCGTACACCGAAGCCTTCTTCCCCATCGCCGAGGCCCTGACTGCGAAGGGCGACAAGCAAATGTCGTCCGGAAACAAGGAAGAGGCCAGCGCCCTGTACCTCCGCGCATGCACCGTGTACCGCATCGCTCGATTCCCCTACATCACGGCGTATCCCGAGGTCAGTTGCCCAGTCAAGTGGAAGGCGTGGGAGGCACAGAAGGAGGTGTACCTGAAGGCGGCGCAGTCGTGGGACTGCCCCATCAACGACATGGCTATTCCGCACAAGCACGCCAAGGGCGGCGACCGCAAGTCGATCCCGGCCTATGTCAGGGTGCCCCACGGAGCGTCCAAGAGCAACCCCAGCCCGGTGGTGCTCCTGATGACCGGCCTTGACGGATACCGTCCCGACAACACGGTCCGTTCTGACGAGTTCCTGGCCCGCGGATGGGGCAGCGTCATCGTCGAGATCCCCGGAACCGCCGACTGTCCCGCCGACTCGGCCGACCCGGAGAGCCCCGATCGTCTGTGGAGCAGCGTCCTCGACTGGATGGCCGCCGACGGCCGGTTCAACATGGACCGCGTCATGGTCTGGGGTCTCAGCTCCGGAGGTTACTACGCCATTCGCATTGCGCACACCCACAAGGACCGTTTGATCGGTTCCATCGCGCAGGGAGCCGGATGCCATTACTTCTTCGACCAAGAGTGGCTGGAGAAGGCCGACGGCCACGAGTACCCGTTCCTGTAAGTCAATCCTCCTGTTGCAGAATGGGTATGCCGATGCTAACAACACCAAGTTTGACCCCGGCAATGGCGATGAAGCACGGCTACAAGTCGGTTGATGAATACAAGGCAGGTGTCCAGAAGAAGTTCTCCTTGCTCGAGACTGGCATCATCGAGAAGCCGTCCACCCGCTTGCTATTGATCAACGTAAGTCAAATGCCAAGAACCCAAACAGAAGCGATGACAACTGACCAATACAGGGCACCCTGGATGGACTGATGCCCATTGAGGATTCGATGATGTTGTTCGAGTATGGTACGCCTAAAGAGGGCAGGTTCTTCTCGGGAGCATTGCACATGGGCTATCCCATGGCGAACGCGTCCGTCTATCCGTGGATGGAGAGCGTCATGGCTAGCAAGGCTTGAGCATCTTAGAGATGTATCGGTAGTAGTAATCATCAGTCAACCTTTCAAACCAGACATCACGAGTGAACGAGATGACAATCAGCCCAAGTGATGCTGGAATATCTTTCTTTTTTGATTTTTTTTTGCTGCTTTAGGGACGTTTTCTCACAGAAACCACCGCAATGCTTACCGACCCATCCAGCCGCCGTCAACGACCAAGACGTGACCACTCACGTAGCCACTCGCCCTGCTAGCCAAGTACACCGAGGTGCCCTTGAAGTCTTCCGGCGTGCCCCAGCGGCCGGCGGGGATACGGGCGCTGATGCTGGCAAGCCTTTCCTTGTCGTTCAGAAGCGCCGTGTTCATCTCGGTCTCGATGTAGCCGGGGGCGATGGCGTTGACGGTGATGCCCTTGGAGGTCCACTCGTTGGCGAAACTCTTGGTCAGCTGGGCGACAGCACCCTTGGAGGCAGCGTAGGCGGGGACTGTGAAGCCACCCTGGAAAGAGAGCAGAGAGGCGTAGTTGATGACGCTGCCCCTGCGGCCGGTGACGGGGGAGGGCTCGAGGGTGAGCATATGCGCGCCGACGTCGCGGGTGATGGTGAAGACGGAGTTGAGGTTGACTTGGATAACCTAGGTGCCATGTTGTCAGCTCACACCGGCGCGCATTCAATTCACCAGAGCCGAGAGCAGGGAGAGAACAATTCACTAACCGCGTTGAAGTCGTCATCGGGGAACTTCTCGCACGGGTGACGCTTCTGGATGCCGGCGCAGTTGACGAGGATACGGATCTCGTGACCGTCCTTCAGGACCTTGGGAACGAGGGCGGCGACACTCTCCTGGGAGCTGAGGTCGGCGGTGTAGATCTGGGCTTTGCGACCCAGCTTCAGAATGGCGTCTCTTGTGGAAGGGTTGGACTCGTCGCGCTGGACCAAGAGGACGTCGGCGCCGGCCTCGGCGAGGCCAATGGCTACGGCGGCGCCGATGCCGCGGGTGCCACCGGTGACGAGAGCGGTCTGGCCCTCGAGGGAGAAGAAGGGTGAGGCCATGTTGAGGTTGGTAGGCGAATTGAGGGTATCACGAAGAGATGGGTAGTGGTGGGGAAGGGAGAAGGAAGAATCAAATGGTCACGACGAGGGGTTTTTGAAAGAAGGGAGGTTCTGCGCTGCGCAACCTTGTTGGAAGAAGAATGAGACGGACGCCAGTTTATTGGACGAGGTCTGTCTGGGAGGGAGCTGAGTCGCAATGCTGAATTGTTGTGCAGGGTAGGAAAGGTAAGGTATCGTAGAGCTTGGATGAGCTTGTGACGACTTCTTGGGGTAGAAACCTGGGGCCCGGAGCTTCACTTCTCTCTTGATTGGGCCATTCTCGTTTACCGAGCCATCGCCGGTGGAAGCACGTCTTTTTCCCCGATGCAACGGATTCGCGAGACATTTATCTCTGGCACAGGCTGGAAAGTGACGGATTAGTTGCCGTGGCCGTGGCCGTGGCCATGGACGCGGTGTCATAACCCGCGGGGCAATTGGCGGCGAGTGTCACGATTCAAACGGCGCGAGTGCGGGGCATTTTTGGTGAAAGGTAAGGTATTCGGTACCTCGAATTGCCTGCTACTAACTCGTAAGTGAAATGAGGAGTTTACCCCTCAGCTGCAGGGATTCATGCCGTCTCCAACCGTCCTGTATTTACTTTTGTGCTGTGACGTCGTTTTCGCAATGCTCTGGGAATACGTAGAGCTTCTTCCAATTTGGTGGGTTAAACTACTTCCATTACTATTTGTTGATCACGAATACAGAAAAAGATGATTTCAAACGCAACATCGCAGGTCACTCGGCTCTTGTTCATGTCGGGGTCCTGGAAGTATTCTTTTCCAGCTGCTTCTCGTTGCATTGACCCGGCCCAGTATCAAGTGAAGCCAACCCCCACGTAAGAAATGTCCAAGTGGGATTGGCTGGTCTTCTCCCCGCATATCGGAGCTTCCATTGTAAATAGAAACATGGGGAGAAAAGAATTCAACAAGCAACTTTCGGTCATGATCCGGTCTTTGTTGGAGACAACACATTGCTTTCTGAACTGGCCTGGCCTTCAGGACGACAAAAACAAGAAGCCGAGTCTGTTGCGAATCACCGACGCCCTGATTATCATCGTCATCAACCCCAGATGAGATAAAACCCAGTGTGCTATGATGAGGTAGGCAATGTCAAACTTCCCCAGAGCCCCGCCAAGCCTTAGGACATAATTGCCGTCTTTGGTCTCCGCGGCCATTTTGTCCAGGTCAAGCGTCTCCGTCAAAAACATCAGAGTCGGCGGGCATTGCCTGGAACGGATCGGAACACAGCTTGGGGGTCAGAACCCACGAATGTCATTCCTCCACACCAGAGTACTTACCCCTCCTCCTCAACCAGAGGAACCATCATGTACCTACCCCTCCATCGTCACGATAATACGGCCAACACCTGCGATTGCCCCTCTTCTCGCAGCCTCTTCCTCGTCTTGCTTCCGGACAGAATGCCGAGCCATTCACCAAGCGCATCCAGCTCGTTTTGACCGAGTTCCTTAGCTCCACAACTCCATACGAACCATTTGCTGTGTGCTGTCTTGTCTTGAATAGCCGTCCGGTGTCGTTGTACTCGGTACCTGCGACTGATGCTGCGCTCCCCAACGTCTGTAGCTCGTGGACGATTCCAGTTTGAATCGGCGAGAGCGAGGTACTTGTACTCAAACTTCAAAACGACTCGGCCTCAGAATCCCGTACCTTGCTTCATCCTCGGCCTTCTTTTCCCCCACCGACCACTGACTTGAATCCCCAGCCTGTCTACCGCAGTAGTCTCTTAACCCGCATTTCCGCCGTCGACGTCCAATCATCCCTGTTGTCGTGTCGCTCCTCATCCATCGTGTTATCCGATCCGTCGATATCGGACCTGTCGCCGTGCCTCAGTATCCCACTTCCTCACCTCGGCTTTCTAGCAATTCTCTTTGATAATTGTCCCCGCTGCCCACTCGCTTCTGGTCTTCCGAGAGGCCCTAGAACCGCTTTCCTACCATCGCGATAACATCGTGTGATAGTCTCTCTGTTGAGTTGAATCGCCTCCACATCACCATCGTCGCATACGAACGCAGTCACCATGTCGAGCGTTCAAGTCCAGACCTCCGTCCTGCACGGCGCCAAGGACCTCAAGATTGTCAGCCTGCCTTTCGCCCAGCCCAGCCCCCATTGCGTATTCTAACCTGCGCAGGAAGAGAGAGCTTTGCCCGCTCTTGCGCCTGGCGAAATCCAGGTCGCCGTCAAGGCCACTGGACTCTGCGGTTCCGACCTGCACTACTACAACCACTTCCGCAATGGAGACATCCTCGTCAAGGAGCCCCTGACCCTCGGCCACGAATCCAGCGGCGTCGTCACTGCTGTTGCCCCAGACGTGACGAACCTTGCCGTGGGAGACCACGTCGCCCTCGAGGTCGGCCAGCCCTGCGAAGCTTGCGATCTTTGCGCTGCTGGCAGGTATAACATCTGCAAAGGCATGAAGTTCCGCAGCTCTGCGAAGGCTTTCCCCCACGCCCAGGGAACCCTCCAGGAACTCGTCAACCACCCCGCCAAATGGTGCCACAAGTAAGCCGTGATGCTTCTTGCTCTGGCGTTCCGCAGGCTGACATGACGATGCGCAGGCTCCCGCAAGAGGTCTCCCTCGAATTCGGCGCCCTCGCCGAGCCCCTCTCCGTCGCAATGCACGCCAGGGATCGCGGAAACGTCCCCAGCGGCTCGACCGTCCTCGTCTTCGGCGCCGGCGCCGTCGGTCTGCTCTGCGCCGCCGTCAGCAAGTCCGACCAGCAAAAGGTTGTCATTGCCGATATCCAAGAAGACCGCGTCAAGTTTGCCCTTGACAACGGCTTCGCCGATGCCGGTGTCGTAGTGCCTGCGAAGCGCCCTCAGACGATCGAGGACAAGCTGGCCTACGCCCAAGACGTGGCAGAGCTGGTCAAGGCCGCCAAGATTGACGGCCAGGAGGTTGGCGAGGTGAACGCGACTTACGAGTGCACGGGTGTCGAGACCTGCATGCAAACTTCCATCTACGTGAGTTTACGGCGCTCCCGAATCAGCCGGGCTTCTTCTGACTTGAGAACTTTTAGGCCACTCGACCCGGTGGAAAGATCCTCATCATCGGCATGGGAACCCCGATCCAGACTCTCCCCATTTCCGCCGCGGCTTTGCGCGAAGTCGACTTTGTCGGTGTTTTCCGCTACGCCAACACATACCCCAAGGCCATCAACCTGATTGCGACGAAGCCCAAGGGCCTGCCAGCGCTAGAGAAGCTCTTCACGCATCGTTACAAGGGTCTGAGCACGATCAAGGATGCGTTTGATATGGCGGCCAAGGTGAAGGATGAGAGTGGAAACCTGGTGTTGAAGGTTCTTGTGGATACCTCGAATTAGAATGTGAAAATAAAATAATACGTTGGAGTTACTCATTACTTGTGGACTTGACTGCTTCATTTGCGACAATCATGTAAGTGGTGACGGAATCACCTTGTAATCCGCACCGACACCGCAACGGATACTGAAACTTGGTCAACAGCAGCTTTATGCGTATCGACTCATTTCGGACATGAAAATTCCAATTGTCAATTGGGATTCCGGTCGCTGTAAATCATTCTATTCATTCATTTTCTATTCAGATCATGATCAACACCTAAGACTTGTCCGGGAAGCCAAAGTCGATGCCGAATGGCGGGTAGACGTAGCGCTTGAGCTCCTTCTTGGCCGTCAGGTCGTCCGAGTAGGCACGGAGCTCTTTAAGGTCCTCGTCGTCAAGCTTCACAATCTCCAGGTTGGCCTTGATGCGCTCGGGGGTGACGGACTTGGCGATGACGGTGCTGCCGCGGGCAACTGTGAAAACACGCAACATTAGCAACCATCCAGTCAACAATGGCAGATCAACATACCGTGGTAGCTAAGGAGGACGGTGGAGGCGCTGACGCCGCGCTTCTCGGCGATCTTGACGACGGGCGCGGCGCTCAGGAGGGGACCGCCGGTAGAGCCGAGAGGGCTGTAGGCCATGATGTGGATGCCCTTCTCCTTGCAGAAGTCGACAATCTCCTGCTGGGGCAGGCTGGGGTGGTTCTCGATTTGGTTGACGGCGGGGACGACCTTGGCCTGGGGGAGGAGCTCCTCGAGGTACTTCACGCTGTACTGTCGTAGTTGTTAGCATTTGTTGGCTCATCTCATGTCAAGAAAGACTCACGTTGCAGACACCAATGGAGCGGACCTTTTCGGTGTCAAGGAGCTTCTCCATGGACTTCCAGGTGTCAACGTGGGAGTGGCTGTGAAGGATGTCACGGCTGCCATCGGGCTTGGTGGGGAATCTATCGTGGTTTCCTGGGAGAGAGAATCAGGTCAGTGAAATGCCTCGAGAATCAGATGGTGAGAGAGCTAGAACATACCCTCGGGGTTCATGGCAACAGGCCAGTGCTGGTCTCAATGTCAGCTTTCAAAGTCCCAGAAAAACTCATCCGAGGGTCCTGAACATACAACCAGGAACAGGTCGACGTAGTCAAGACCCAAGCTCTTCAAGCTCTTATCGAGTCCGAGCTTGACTCTCTCATCACTGGTGGTATAGGTGGCCCACAGCTTGGTGACGACGTAAATGTCCTCGCGCTTGACACCGCTGGCAAAGGCCTCCTTGAGACCCTGGCCGACCTCGTCTTCGTTGGCGTAGCAGTAAGCGCCGTCAATGGCCTTGTAACCAATCTTGAGGGAGTACGAGACGGCCTCCTGGACCTGACCGGGGGCGGACTGCCAGGTGCCTTGAAATAATTAGCCATTGGGAGCGCAATCGGAGTCGACAATGTTTCTTACCGAGGGCGACGGCAGGGATCTCGTATCCCGAGTTGAGCTTGAAAGTCTGCGAGGCCATTTCTAGAGCTGTGGACGACAGAGAACGGTGTCTTGGATATCGAGGGTATCGCGAGAGGTTTGCGACTGAAAGGCGGGGGCGGGGTAATTTGTATAGGAGATTTCTACTGTTGGAGAGCACAAAACAGAGCATGCAATAACAACGACGAAAAGGGAAGAAACACTCGGGTTAAAGTCAATGGGGAGATGAGACGTCACTCTTCCAAGTCATGAGTGGGTGCGTGCTCTCGGTATATATATCGCCAACACGCCGAAAGAGAGAATAGACTATCAGGGCTATGTGTCGCGATGTATGGCCACGGCCGGGTAAATGCTCGACACATGTTCGGTCACTATTTCCTCGCACCCCTCCCTCGCCCGCATCTTCTCAGGCAACGGACCGCGATTTGCGTGTCACCCTCGGGCTAGGATGATACCGCCACCGACCGGGCTCAGCTACTCCAGCAACTCTCTGCTTCGTGTGGATTTCCCCGGTTTGTCAAGTCTGGCGTATGGATCCCCCCCCCTCATCGTCGGTGGGCCGTGTGAGTTCCATTCATGGATAATTCGTTGGTCATCGGAGCAGGTCTCGGGCGTTGTTGGGCCGAGTCATGAAGAAAAGGGGCCCGCTATTTGGAGTTACAACACGACGTGGACTGTGAAAGAGACGGGAAGTCCAGTCGTCCACCCGTCTCTGCGGCGGCCGATTTCCGGCGGCCGTCCGTCGTGAGTTGCCGGTTTTTTTCTGCAGCCTGCTTTGCTGGGCGCTCCAGTACGGGCAAAGCCTCCGGGACCAAGCCCGACTAAACGATCCAAGCCGAACTGAGTAAGTCTGTCATGTACTCTGTACCTCGCCTGTGTGGAAATCATCTCACCCCCCTCCCCCACGATCACCACGGCTGGCTCCAAACACACGTAACACGAGGCTGCCAGGTCAAGGCACCCACCGCAAGGCATGTCTACTGACACACATTAACTGGCTGGCTAGCGTACTTCTTCGCCGAAGGTAACCTCTTTGGTGATTAATAGATCTAATGTTATGCAAGGAAGAAGCTCTATAGCTGCGCCGTGCCGTCGTCCCCAATGTCCATGTCAATGTCATCGTACAGCTGGCGGTATCCGTTTCCGCTCTGGTATTACAGAAGCCAACGCCCATTTCCATTTTAACTCCCCGGACCACCGTCCGTATTCCTCCCTTAACCGGCAACGAGGACCCAAAGTCTGCGAGAAGGGTCAGTAAGTAAACCCGTACTGCTGCGAGATTGGTAACGTACAGAAAGAAGATCATGAGCACACCAAACATTTTCTGGTTTTCTAGTCAGCATAATCGGCCTCAATGTGTCACGGACAAGACGGGGTTGACATACGGCAATGAGCCACCTGTTGCTGGACACACGGCCCCAATACTTGAGCAGTTCTGTATCTTGGGTCAGACATGGCCGTATCGCACACGATTCCTCGCGGCCGTTGTAGCCACTTACCTCGTTGCGCCCCCTGGACGTTGTCAACAACATCTTCCGTGTTCGCGTCAATACGCTGGATCATCTCGCTTTGCTCCGATACCATGGTGGCCAGCTGCCCGAAGATCTGTGGTGTTGTGTGAGTCTGGCTTGGCCACGCAGAACGAGATGGAAATCGTGCAAACTTACAGATCCGAGCTCCGCAATTGTAGATTCGATACTCTCGATCGCCGCACCTCTCTCCTGGATATACGTGTTTTGCGGCTGCGCCTCTTCCATGAGCAGAAGTTGCTGGTCGCCGGGAGGATTCAGCGAGAGAAGATCGGCTCCGGGAGACGGTGTTCCCCGGTGCGGCGTGCCGTAAAGTGGCGACGCCGACTGCTGCAGAGGCGGTTGCGCATGTTGTGAGACGCTGGAAATGAACTACAAAAACCCTCTACGTTAGCGCAAACACGTATATGGAACGTATCGGAGGGTGTTGGAAACGCACGTTGTCCGTTCTTGACCTGGAGGCCTGGATGTTCTTGGTCCTCTCCTCCAGCACGTCCTTGAAGTTAGCCGACACGTCCGTCAGCTTGCCCTGGAGCATGAAGACGACGTTCTTGTTGTGCTCTCCCTCTTGATCAGCCTTGGGATGTTGTTGCCGGGTCAGGACTTGCAGGTTGCCAATCTGCTGGTTGAGGGAGCTCAAGTCCTGCTTAATGATGTAGGTGAGCTCGTTGATTTCGACCGGCCTGTCATCGAAGAGAGTTCTGCGCCTGGCCACTGTGAGAAGCACCGTCAGCGTCAAGTTGCGCGATTCCAATACGGTGCAGGTAAGTGCATACACGTCGCCAGCTTCTCCAGCTTGCCCATGGTGGCCGAGATGCCCCTCCCAATCTGTGCGGCCTGGCGCGCAAACTCGGATCGTCTCGGCCTGGAGTCGCCGTCGGCGGCAGCCTTCTGGGAGTCGGTCAAAAGGGATCGTCGTTGAGCGCCGACTTTGTTGGCGGCCTGGCGACGTTGGGCTTGGGCGAGGACCGACTGGAACTCGGAGGTTCGATCCTGTATCGATGCGACCGCCATGGTGAATGTTGCGTTCGGGTACGGGTCGTTTTGGCGACAGGAACCAGGAGGAGGCGACCAGCGCGTATTACTTCGTCGACGTCCTTGATGCGAGGGGGCTGATAATCGGTCGTCGCGATAGAAGAAGAATCGTGGTGGATAGGCGCTCAGGGACGGGAAATTAGCTAGGCAGGAGGTGCGAAAGACGAATGCTGTAGTTGTACAAGGCGATGCGATGCGATGTGATGTAATGTGTGAAGCAAGGCTGCCAATGGTCGTTATCGCGGCTGGATCGGTCTAAGTGGATATCAACGTAAAGTTGTGAAAGGTAGAATACCACGCACGCAAGCTGCTGTTGATGCCGTCCTTCAATGTTCCGGAGCGTCGCAGGAAGCCAGAGAGACCAGAGGCCAGAGTCCGGGCAGAGAGGTCGGGGTGACGGGGCCAGGGTGTCCGATCCATCCGTCAACGTGGTTTTTTGTTTCGGAACGAGACCTGGAGCCTGGACTGCAGAGCGTAATTAGAGCACAAAAGGGTCACAGGCTGAGTGTGTGTGGCTCGTACCGCGGTCGAATAATCCAAGATTAATTTGTTAGTGTTGAATTAACGCGGCACCGCCACATCTAAAAATGGCTGCACAGACCGAAGTGATCCACATTTGAGATGAACAGTTGGAGACCGTTCTGATTACGTAAGATACCTAGGACAGGAAGTACCTAAGGTACCTTGGATTTCTTCACTTTCTCTTCGTAAGTAAGGTAGACCGTTGAGTCGATATCTACCATTATTCCTACAAGACACTACTGGAAATCGGCATCAGCAAAGAAAGAAACCACACCTACTCTAAAAGCAGCGTTGAGGAATGGGAACACATCAACTTCAGCTCTTGACACAACAGGGAGAGATGCATGTAAGACGGGGGCCAAAACGAAACGAGTACAAATCACAGGCACTCCCACAACCGTTGAACAGACGATTCATCTGACGGTGACAAGAGTTTCTGCCTTCGTCTGTGTATCTCTAATATCTTTAGGAAGGATACGGAAAATCCATAATGGCAATGTCGAAAGCCCTACGGAATGACGCTGATGATGGCTTAACTGCGTGTTCTATTGACATGCTCGCTCGTCGCAATACTCCCTACAATGCCGTTTTGACTTACCTGACATTGGCATTGGCATGCATATCCCGCGCTTCCGCCCTCACAGATCACACATCCACACACACAGACAGGCGGGTAGGCACCACATCACAATGATCACAATGCTTCCCACCCCTGCCATTCTGCACTGCGTAGCATTCGACTGCCTGCGTATCCTGCTGGGTGGGCAGCATTCTCGACGTTCCATTGGAAAACAGCCCACGTCGATCCCCTCTTTTCAACACGGCCAACGGCTCCATCCCTCCAACGACCTGAGTACTTGTTCACCACACATTCGCTGCAGAGTGACATCGAGTAGTACTGACACAAGGATATCCCAGCACAGAGTGAGAGAATGTGCAGCCCAGCCCAGCTGAGAGGCCGTCCCGCCCGCCAGCCTCTGCCTTGGGCGTTTCCTGACGGGGAATGGTCTTGGACTTGGACTTTCGGCTGGTCTTGTTGGTGAGATTGATGAGTCCGCTCCAAGCCACCTTCCCCAAGCCCCCAAATTATCATCCCGTCTTTTGGTCTCTTCGGTATCCATCTCCAGCAAAAGTTGTGGCCGGGCAGACTGCCAATCTACACCTTCATCGCCGAGCCACGGCTCCAAACAACTTACTTTACGGTACCGTCCGAACCCACGGTGCTGGACTCTTCTGTGATTGTTCTGAATCTCTCGTCTTCTTGGTACCATTCGAGGCGCCCTATTCCGCGCTTCCTGCCGTAATCCGAACCCGGGGTGGACCGTCTCCATTCCCAGCCGCCTGATCCCACTGAACGAACCACCGACCGCCGCGCCCAACGATACCCATTCCCGAGTCGCTCGATAGTCTCGGAGTAATTCGCAGGAGAGCCGTAGTAGAGATATGACGAAGTAGACGAACTCGACGTGACTTCTTGGACGACGCGATGAGCGGCCCCTACAACTACGGCTTCAGGCCTCCCCACGGCCAGTCGCCAATGTGAGCATTTCCCTCCCGAACACCGGCTTCTACTTCCTACTATCCGTATCCCGTCGTCATTGCTGACCGCGCCTACCTGTTCTTAGGAGCCCTGAGACCCCGACGAGTGCATACAAGATCGACGTCAAGAGGACAAAAACGAAGAAATGGGTCGAGGCGAAGACCCAGAATTACGATGGCGATGACTGGGGCAATGATTTCGATGACGAGCCTGACGAGCCGGTACCTGTGCCGCCTCTCAAGCCGACGATGGGCTTCCGTCAGCCGAGTCCCAGCCAGGCGACGACCGCGAACCTGCCATCCAACCAGCCGCTTACGCCGCAATCTGCAGGACCTGCGTCCATGATGCGACCACAGCAGCCGGCCACGAACGAGTCGGCATTGTCAAGCAGCCCTCGGGCCACAGCCGGCCTTCCTCCTCTTCAAACCCAGACACCACCGCGACCTGCGCCACCCATCGTCCATCCCGAGTCGAGTGATATCAGGCCTCAGATTGTCTCCGGACCATCCTCGATGGATAGTGTTTCTGACAAAGGCCCGTACGAACACCTTGTGTCGCCGCAGTCAGCCAATATCGGCTCTGGGCCTGGTTCCAATGCTGGTCGTCACGAAGCACCACCACTTAATGTAACCTCCCCCGTAGGCGGTAGACGCACCTCGCCAGCGCCGCCGCAGCAGCAGCAACAGTCGCAACAGCCTGCGCAGCCGCAGGCTGCTCGATTCCCGCCTCGGAAGAGCAGCATGGGCCAGCATGATGCTGATCGCCAAGCAAACTCTCGCTCTGGTTCCACCCAGCCGCCGTGGATGGAGCAGCGATCCAGGTCTCCTTCGACTGTGAGATCGCCAGGCACGCCCTCGAACGCCAAGGCGCAACCTTTCGTTCGGCCTTCGGACATCTATCGTCGCGCAGAGAACGAGAGGGAGAAGGAACGAGTATCCACGGAGTCGGGACGGCCTAGCTTGGACGGCGTTGGTGGTCCAAGGACTGAACGGTCGATTTCTCCTGCAAATGCACCTGCCGGTGTTGGAGCTGGTGAGCATGTGAGGGGGAATGATTTGGGTTTGAGTAAGCTTCAAGGAGAAGACGCACCCCAAGGTAACCAGCGGCCCGTTTTGGAGCCGGTCGCAGAGAGAAAGAGCGAGTACGGCTTCGACCGCCTGCTTTCCCAACCCCAAAGTCAAGACCAGGCGCTGCCGCAGCCGCAGCCGCAGCCGACAACGAACATCACCACAACAAAATCTGGAAGCCCCCAATTGGCTGTGCCTGCGCATGCGCCTGAACCACAATACCAACGCCCAACCAACGAAGAGGTCGCCGAGCAACGCCGCTACTCTTCTAGCCCTCGACTGCCAGACCTTGCTCGTATGTCCCTTTTCGGCGACGATTTCTTTTCCAACCCGGGCAAATTCGCCGACGATGCACCGCCAATGCCTTCTCTGAACTCGCAGCAGTCTGGCGCAGCATTGCCGGCCGAGAATTTGTCAACCATCGATAGAACAGCAACCCCCGCTGCGTTGTCGACCTCCAGTATAACCCCTCAGCGAGCCGAGTCTCCGATGGCCTCTGGCCAACCTGACAAGATGGAACCCGTCTCGCCGGCACAACCGCCGCCAACCAAGGAGAATGATGAGCCGGTTGGACTGGGCTTGAATTCTCTGCCGTCACGGCCATCCCTTCCTGGAGGCTGGGTTACGGAGACGCGTTCGGTGACCGATGAACAAACGCCTCCTGCTGTGGCAGAAAAGAAGACGGCAGGCATGGATCCGGGCGAGGTCTCCCCCATAACTGACAACGAAGACGATGAACTCCGCGGCAGCGGTCTGGCGACTGTCAAGGATAGGGTGTCGATACCGGTTTCCATCCCCGAGGCTTCGGCGCGTGTGCCTCAGTCCCACGACCGAGATACCGACAAGGCCGAAGCCGCCGTTAAGCCGTTGGCCCCGCTGAACCCTCGACCGTCCGACCACTCTCCATCGGATTTCGTTCCGCCTGAGAAGCTGCAGCGCGAATCAACAATGAGCACGGTCACGTCTCCGTCGCCCGTCAAGGAAAGCGATAAGCTGAGGGAGGAAATCATGCGCAGCCTTAGCCCCGTTCGACCTACAAGTGACTTCAACGACTTCAACAAGAACCAGGCATCCGGCCTAACGGTGGAGGACAACGGTCCTCGCGAAAGCACCTACCTGCATGGCGTCTACGATGACTACTGGACTGCAGGCGATGACAAGCCCGACGTTCCTGAGTTGCCCAAAAAAGCAGAGATGGATGTCAAGTCTTCGGAGAAAGAGCGGGACATTTCCGGCGTGCCTCCGTTAAGCCCGCGCAAGGAGACCGCAGGAACATCCCCGAACCTTGGCCGGCGATTTTCCTGGGAGGGCGGGTCGGAGCAGGTCACGCCAGGGCCAGCCGACCCTCAAAACAACCTCTTGTCCGAACCTCAACTGCAGACTGCCTCTGCAGCTGTTGTCAGCCCATCTCTTCCCTCCCAGGATGCCCAACAGCCACGAGCCGCGTCGTCTGAACAGCCAAGAGGCGCCGAGCAAGCGCAGCCTCCCACCACCACTACGGACGAGACGCATATTGCAGTGCCTCCAAATTCAGGCACGATGTCACACCAAGTGTCGCAGGTGAGCTCGGTGCCGAGAGATCGGTTGGGTTCAGAGGCCATCGAACCTCCGTCGCCAGTGTCAGTTGTGACTGATAAGAACAATGCCTCCGCCGCACCAACCCGCCGGCTGTCCCTCGCGGAAGAAAAGTCAATGGTTCGGGTCTCGTCCAATCCCGTGTCGCCAAGCCCTCCGCCGGGTGACCACCCGGCGCTGGCCCAGTCTGCGGAGGCGACGCCGCCGCCTGCATCACCCGAACCGTCACAGCAGCAACCCGTCGCGCCTGTCAAGATTACGAACTTCAGAGACATCATGGAGCTCCAAAGCGCATCGGAGAGGATCAACAAGTACAACGAAACAAGAGCGCAGTTCGCGTCAATGGATTCCGGACTAGACAACTGGCTAGTCAACCTCAAGTCCCAGCATCCCGAGCACGCAAACGCGACTGCGTCGTTCGCAACCAACATCTCGAACGCTGGCCAGGGGCAGTCTTCGCCGACGACGTCTCAGCCGAATTCCCAGCAGCCATACTATCAACAGTATCTCAACGCTAGCTCAACCAACGTCAGTACGGCTGCAGCTTCAGGTCGCCCTCCCGCGGGCAGCGTATCCATGGGGTCCCATTCGCCTTCGAGCGATTTCAAGCATTCGAGCGGTCAAGTTGGGGCGAAGGGCAAGGGACTGTTGCTTGCGGCGGGTAAGGCGGGTAAAGGTCTATTGAGCAAGGGAAAGAACAAACTCCGTGGCACTGGGGACAAGGTATTTCTTTAACATTCCTCTCAATTGGGGTCATCACATCACAGGGCATGCATTCTTTTAATTGTCGAGGTTGATTGAGGATTCGCTCCCATCTTCCCACAAGCCATTTGTTTTCTTTCCTTCATTTTCCCCCTGGTAACCACTCATGAGCCATGTGTCTCCCTTTTCTGGCCAGGATGATGGGACTGTATGAATAAGGAATGCTACGACTTCATTTTGCACGATCATGTAACCCCTGTGGTGCCTCCTCGGACATTTAAGACTCCACGTGGTATTCTATGGTGATCATCTCTAATTATGTGTTCTCCTACAGAACGACTCTTCTCCCCCGCCGGCCCAAGCCCAGTCCAGGACCAAAGCAGAGCGGCGTACGTCATGGGGCATTAGCCTCGGAACCCGCTCATCGCCCCGTGCCGACAGTCATGCGCGTTCAGCTTCATTATCAGGATCGCTGTCAGGCCCAGCTCCTAGTTCACAGACCATCCCGGAACATCCGGCTTCCCCGACTCCACCGCCTCAACTGCCCCAGACATCGCGTATCTCCCCATTCGATACCTTGACTCAGGATAGACAGGCTTCGGCTTGGGCCCCACCTCGGCCCCAGACCCCCAAGCATCCCGCCGGTGCTCTCCGGGACAGCGATTCGGAGCCCGTGTCGCCCGTGTCGGACACCCAGTCTGCATCGGCACCCAAGGGCCACGACAAGGCCGATGATGACGGCTTCGACAGTGGTCTCGGTGGCGGCGGCGACCTTCAGGTCCCAAGACCCATTAGCAAGACCCAGCCTTCGTGGGACCCATTCACAGGCACACCCTTGGTTGAGGAGGAGGGTTTCGAGATGGGTCAGTCCAGGGATCCGAGTCCTCATGCGCATCATGCTGCCCGTGCTTCTTCCGTTGCGCAAGCACAAACCACCACTTCATTAGCCAAGAACTCCACTGAAGATGATGATTGGGTAGTGGTTTCGCCGCAGTCGCCTCCTTCAGGTCAGGTTTATGTGGTGTCCCCTGAATCACCTCCTTTAGCGCGTTCTTTTCAACCCATCGAAGTCAGTAGAGAGATTTCTGCGAATGAGGATGATGAAGAATCTGCCAATCGGGGTGCTGTTTCCCTTGCGCAGCAGGCGCAAGGTCAAATCCAACATCACCAGCCGGGACAACAAGATCAGCCAACGACGCAACATGGCCAGCGGATTCAACATCTTCCCCAACAAGGGACTGGATACCAGGCACCACAGCAGTACCAATATCAGCACCAGACTCGCGAGCAACTTCCCTCGCAACAGCAACAGGTGTCTCCTCAGCGCCAGTCCTCCTTCGTCGGTCTTCCGCCCATTCGCCGAACTTCGACCTTTGGTATGAATTTCACCAAGAGAGCCAAAAAGCGTTTCCCCTTGGATGAAGATGAAGACGATGGTCATGGTCTTGTATCATCCCCCGTCGGTACTACATCCGCGCACTTCGGACAGAACACAGGTAGTTCGACGCAAGGGCAGCAAGCCGGAGATGGCGCGTTTGTTGAGTCTTCACAGCCTGTTCGAGTCGAGACAGGACTGTCTGCTTCTCGAAAAGATAGTGCCATGTCGCATCAAGTTATCTCAGCGACGTCCACCCAGGCGGCAACCCTGGCAACAGAGAGCACTGGAGTTGACTGGAGAGTTGACGACGAGAAGAGGCCTTTGGATCCTCAGCAATCCTTCCGACCCGGTGGGCCCGTTCCCCGTCCCATTGACACGAATTTCGCGACATCACATGACGGGCGCAGCGGAGGCCAGCCATTAGCTCCCGGAATGCGGTCTCAGCAAGGAGTAGTTCCCCCGACTGTCGGCGGCAACCCTATCCAGCATCTACCGCCACAAGGCCCGTGGAAGCTGGAAGAGTCTCATCTGTCAGAGCCGCTTCTGCCTGCTAGCCGTAGTCGCTTGTCAGGTAGCTCAACGTCTCCTCATCAACCATTCTTTGGCTTCGATAAGGAGACTGGAGTCCCTTCGCCGATGGCTCCACGACAAGAAACGCAGCTGCCACCTCGGCAGAAGTTCTCTGAGGTCCCTCCGTCATCAGCACAGCGATATCCGGAGCTGTTTACTTCACCGCCGCAAGGCTATCCGAACCCCGGTTCTCCAACTGGACCCCGAAGCTCTTTTGACGCAGGACACCACTTATATAATCGAGACAACACCTCCCTCCAGCGGACGCGGACGGTCGATTCTGAAGTGAGCAGCGTTGAACCATCTGGAGATGACGAACGCGGTCGAGGCAAGCGCGGGTCAGGTTTCTTCAAAGAAGTCGGTGGTCGTTTCTCACGCACGTCTTCAAGAGAAAGGCAAAATTTCAAAGACGAGGTCGAACCTACTGGTCATCCTGCCGAATCTCTCGAGAGGGAAAGAATGTCCGTATCAAGCATTGGGACGGTAGAGATGCAGGACCGGCAAAGGCGCCGGTCGAGCTTTTTTCTCAACTTGCGGGGCCCGAAGCCATCGGACGCGGCTCAAGCTCAAGAAGGTGAAGGAATTCCACCGTCGCCCAAAGCAAGCCCGAATCCTGCCGTCTCTCCGCAGATTCCACACCCTGGCGGGCCCGCAGAACGGAAGCGCTCATGGCTCGGTCCAGGAGGTAACGACTCAGCAGCGGCTCCCCCCAGTTTGTCCCGCTCGTCAACTTCGACTGCTGGAAACGAACCAGCTGGCGGTCCCAAAGACCCTCCGAAGAAACGCTTCTCTGGTCTGAAGGTCTTCAACCGTACGTCCAGCCAGCAGGACCTGCAACCGCCTCCAAAGCCGAGTACTTCTCATTCAGTAGCGTCATCCTTCCACAGCCATCATTCTGGGAATCAGCTTGGCGTGTCCGATTCGCAAGTCACCCTCGGGAGAGAACGAAGCAATACCACAGGATCTGGCCCGTACGGGCTGATGCAGACGAACAAACACTTGCAAACTGTAGGCGAGGAGGACCGTGGAAGAAGAAGTTCGGCCAGCGGCTTTCTCTCCGGCTTGTTCGGCACTCGATCGTCCAAAACTCGAGAGGCACAGCAGCCGGCGGATATTGCGTCGCAGCAAAATCAAGATCCACCGCAGTTCAGGTTGCAACAACAGTCTGGAAATCAGCTTCTTCCTTCAAGCTTGGGACCCAATCGCCAAATGGGGCCACTGCCCATGAGAGGTCCACCGCAACAGTTCGAGTCCCAGCCGCAGCAGACATCCCTCGCCCAGTCGTCGCAACAAGCCACAAATGCTGGACCTCAAGCGCAAGCGCTGGAGCAGCGACGAGCAGACGTGTCTTTCTTGCCGGTTTCGCAGTACTCGCAACCTCGAAGTCCTCCCTTGGATTCACAACAAAGCCGTCACTTGGCCATGACAGGAGCACGACCAGTATCCGAAATCGAGAGTGAGGACCAGAACGTACCCGGGAGAGATGTTCCTGGTGCAGTAAGTCCGCAACTGGGACCTGATCAGCATGTTAGCAGACTGTCTCCGCCCATGCAAAGCGGCGATTTTCCAAGATCTCGAGTGAATCAAAGCCCGCGGTCGCAGGCTATGTCTCCCATCGGCAACCAGTCGCAACCATCCCCATCTATCCCGCAAGTGCGTGAAGAGTCAACTCATCAGTTACAGCGTCAGGATCAGCCTGGAGCTCAAGAGAACCCAGTGAATGCGACAGATCCTAGACATCATCTGTCTGAAAAGTTGGAAGGCGGGCAAGTCCAAGACGCGGACTATCGAAAACCATCGTTCTCTCAGCCTCATGCCCTGGGAATTCAGGGACTCGATGGAAGTAGTCGAATCTCGGGCCAAGCCACGTCTTTGCAGGCGCCTTCAGTTGTCAGAGAGTGGTCTATGAATGAGTCCGACATATCACAACGGTCGTCTTTCTCAGCCTCACCACAACCCCCAAATATCCCCCAATTGCAACCTCCAGTCGTTGCTGCTGCTGCAAATCGAGAGATACCGGTCGAAAATCCACCGTATGGGCCAACGAGTTCTTTTGGCCCTGAGGGGGTGCAACAGGATAATCAGGTGTATCGACAAACGCCATCACTCCCACCTCAGCCAACCGAGCACCAGGGGTACGCTCCTGGGCACGGAAATCCGGGTCAATTTTCTCAGGCACCTTCGCAACCGACCCAAAGGTCGTCACTGCCCCAATTTCCAGGTCAAGGGCTGGGTCAGCAGTACCCGTCACAGGCCCCAAACGATCAAGGGCCAAAGAATGCAGTCTCCAAGTGGTTAAGGAACAGGTCCTCCACGCAAGCGGCTCAACCTCAATCTCATCAAGGTCAAACAAAAGAGTCGACTGCCAAGTTGATCTTCAGCGCTTTTAAGAGGTCATCAAAACAACCAGAGCCTCGGCCGCAGCCAACGCCACAAGCTGAACAGGGACCACACCCGCAATCATTTCAAATCAGACAAGGGCAGCAGATCACACCACCTCCTGGGCCTCTGAGCCAGCGTACGCCCCTCCCAATTCAGGGGCCTCATCTTGATCATCAACAGCGGCAGCGTAAATCTCCTTCACCGGCGGCATCTTTTGGTCAAAGACTACCCCCGCAGCAGAGTCTGTCCAGCGCAAGCTCAGATATATCCCAAGGCACAGGCCAGGTTCTACAGTTTCATAGACCCCCAGGTGAGCCTGTCATGACCCGAGCGATTCCCACAGGGCCTAGTTCAATGGGAAGCATGCCTAGCCCTCAGCCGTACCAAGAGCCTCAATATGATCAAGTCCCTATTCCTCGGGGCTACGCCGCCGTTCACGGCGAGGGAGGCGTGGCTCCCTCTCCATATGATATCGGACGTCCCTCGCCTCCCGCTCAGTATCCTCACCACCAGATGCCGTCAGCCCAGCAAGCATGGGCCCCGCCCTATGGACCTCGAAGACACCTGTCGGATACACCGACGTACAATCAACCGCAGGGCCCGTCGCCGCAAGCTCAGCCGCATAGTCAATTACAAGTCCAAAGCCGTAGCCAACCCATGGCATCGCCGCAGGCAGACCGGCGTACAAGTACGACTTCTTATCAGTCGAATGTCTCTCATACAAGCCATGGTACGCAGCCTGGCTTCGGGGGTTTCGGTGGAGGTGTGCAGGGGCACAATCAGCAGTACCAACAACAAGAATCAAGAGGAGTACACCCTTCAGACCAAGACAGCGGATCACACAACATCCGTAGTCAGCTTGATCATGGATCAAACTCTCAAGCCGCCATCCAGGTTCACAGTCAAACACAGGTTCAACAAGAGACACAAAGCCAACGCAACCCCCAACCCAGTCACTTCGTTCATCAGGTCGTTCTATCGAATGAGCCTCAAGAACAGCACCCCTCCGAACATCATCTCTTCCAAGCCAACGCTCCTGGGAAACACGTCGGTCCCTCGCAAGATCAACCATCACACAGTGGAAGCTTGCAAGAGTCGAATGCTGCCGACTCTCACGGGGAACACGCGCATCGTAGTGACGAATCTCAGGCAACACCAGCCGGACCAGAAGCTGCCTATCCAAAAATACAAGCAGCACCGCAAGGTCTATTCATCGACACCGGTAGCGTTCTTGCAAGTAACTCGCGCAGCGTATCTCCTGGCGTGCAAGTTGTAGTGGACAGAAACGTTGCACCTGATTCACCCGCACCACCAGCCTCCCACTTGAGTGTCAACGTACAGAAAGCGAATCAGGATAGTTCAGACGACATCTACGATTCCACGCCTCGCCTGCCGTCTGGCCCGCCACCGCCACCTGCACAGCCAATTATGGCCACAAGAACCGGACAGAGTCAGGTTAGCGAAAGTTCGGCTGATGAGGCTCCCCGCAATGCGACCCACGCCAATGGCAATGCCAACGGCAACGCTTCAGCGACACTCACTCGCGGCAAAAGCACGAGGGCGGAGTTGGAAGACACCGAGGACGAGCGCATGAGAACCATACGGCTTGAAGCGCAAGAAGAAAAGATCTTGGTTGATCCGTACGAAGAGAAGCAATCCTCGGGGAACAAGTATAGAAAAGAAGATGACCCAGACGCGCCCCAGATGAGCGCGACAAGCTACCCCGGACAAGAGTGGAATCCCTACGGAGCAGGTGGTTATGAAGACTGGGATTAGTCCAATATGCTTGCGTCCATTCGAGACACATTTCAGTATATGTTTATATAATATTTTCTTTGAGTAACCGGCGGGTAGACAGAACCAACCATTCACTTCGTCCACAAAAGGCAGATTAGGTTTACATATTTCTAGTCAATGGTTTCAAACGGAGTTTTGCCCCGAATACCCAGTACAGATAGTTTCTCGACATCAATTTTAATCAAGCCTAATTCTCTTCAATGATACAAAGCACCATCTTGACCGGTACGCCCATCTGCCACGGCGCCGGATTCTTGTCCCCGCCTTTCGACTTGCAGCTCCCTCGGACGTCGCTTTGTCGCAATAACTCTTCCCTCAATATTTCGTCGCTACGTCGTACGCCGGCGGGAGAGATTCGCGCTTACCCGCCTGCTTCTCCGTGTTCATCCGTGGTACCTCCGTCACACCAGACGCGTACCGCGGGGGCAAAGTAGTCGTGGACTCCCTCCTAGTATCCGTCTTGGTGTCGCTTCTGATTGAGTCTCGAAATCGGCCGAAAGGACCCGACATAAACGACACACGTCCAGCCTCTTGCTGAGCTGGCGGTGGTGGAGGCGGTGCTTTCTCGACGTCTCGCGGGGCTGGGGCTCCCGGGGGATTAAGTGGTTCGTATTGAGAGGGGTCTCCAGGGCCGTTGCGAGGCGTGTCTCTCCATCGACCGAATGGACCTCCCATGAAAGGAGGGCGGAAGGGCGGACCGGCGCCGGGGCCGAAACCACGTCCGCATCCTCCTCCACCTGCGGCGCGCTGTTCAAGCCAAGCAGCTCGGGCGGCACGGCGTCGCTTGCAACCACACATCTTGAGTTGCTTTGAGAGACCTGGGAGTTCGACCGTTGTTATTTGAGCTGATGTGAATCAGAGCGACTTGTATGGTTGAGATGGTTGGTTGTCTGTGTCCTCACATCAACCTGAGGAATCGGTAACGGAGGTGTGCATATCGACTCACTCCCACGTCTCAAACATTACGGAGTCGGGGACTCTTATAGTTGACAATTCTCGCTGTGTGTGCACGGTTTACGAGATCCGAGCTATGACGCCAGTCGAGAGATGCCAGCTGAGGGAGGCAGCCGTGGCAGACTGCGAATACGGTGACACAACACGACACATGAGAACAACTTCAGACGAGAAGTCCACGCGCTGCACCCCGCCTCCGACAGCGCTTGTCCAATCTTCACAGCCACTTACACCGTCTCGGAGTGAGGGGTTCGGAAATCTAGGAGGCGAAAGTGCAGGCTCGCTGGGGTTGCCCTTCGCACTCGCTTGTCCGTCGCTTCCATGGACCGAATTGGGGTAAGGCCTTGGCACAGCCCGGCGACATCCCGAGGGCCCCACACGCACTGCCGGCGCAAGTGGAGATTGATGCGGCGCCGTGTCCCTCCGGCCGCCGCTGCTTCGGGAAACATATAGAGAGATCGTGGTACGTCATACCCGGATCTAGTTACTGTTTTGCGACTTCATGCATCACGTAAGAGAGAGCTCTAATGTCACATCTGTTAGTCTCGAGCCAGTCTCACGACATCGCTGTGCACGCGCAGGTTTTCCAGCAGCGGGAAGATGACACAGACCGCTTTGAACAATTATTCCCAACACTTTCGAGACTGCCGGGTTTGTTTCTCAAAATTTAGGCGCCAGAGATGTAGTGGGAGCTGCTATGTTTAGGGAGAGCATCCTCAGCCCAAGCCCACAGTTCAGCCCCCCCTTCTTAGCCTCTAGTAGGTCAAGCGTGAAAAGCACGCCATGAGGATTGAGTTTCTCATCAAGTCAACTAATCTAAGTTATGTGTTGAGTGAATATTACTTGACTTCAACGTGCAGAAAACTACGAACACAATCCACCAACAACGGCCACCAGACCTGTCGGAGTTGTGGGTGGCTCAAAGCCTGCTTCCATGCGGTACAGGTCCAGGAATAGCTCCAAAAGTCACGATATATTGGCTGAACGCTTCAACCTCTTCGTCGCAACGGACAATGTTGGATCAGCTGTGCAGTAACTTTGCTTGGCTTCAAGCCCCCAAGGCTGGCTGCATGTCACAAATGCTGCTTGATGAAGTGAATGCCCGCATTGATATTATCCAAATAGTTGGTCCTCCCTTTTCATCGTTCTTGCCCTCGACATCAGCCAAGCGTCTCGAACGACAAGTCGGGTTTTAACGCCATGGACAGGGCAGAAGCTACGGACTTCGAGCTTTCCAATATCGTGCATATGCCGATTCGCCCTTCACTTTACGAAGGCTCGCAAACGCCATCCGAGGAGTTCTAAGAGCTCCGATCTCGGCTCAAGGTAGCGATAACTCCATGGATTCCAACGTCGATCACCACACCACGGTCGACCCGGAGCTTACTCCCAAGAAGGCTCTCAGGCCTTCTATGATCAGATTGTACCACTTCGAGAAAGAGCACGCCCCTCCAAAGTTCCGACGAAGAGCCCGTTACTTTGGTGGGCAAAGGCAAATGTTGGCAATCATTGCTGCTGTGCTTGTTTTAGCCGCTGTCATTTTCACGTTACTCTTGTACAATGGCCTATAGCAAGCAAAATGGCCCCATGGCATCAACTTAAGTACAGTTTTATCTGTTCTCTCAACCGTTTTGAGAAACATTCTGATGTTCGTCACTGCAGAAGGTGAGTGTTTATTGCTCTGCCAGTAACTTCAACTAATAGCTATCCTGTTCGAAAACCATTAGTCACGCAGAATGGACGTGGTTTGATAATATTCATTCGCTCGAGCACTTGAAGACCTTCGATAAGGCGTCGAGGAGTGTCTTGGGTTTCCTTGGCTTCTTGTTTTGGTTGCGGAAGCCGTCCGTTTTCCCCAGCCCACCCAACAAGACGAACATGATGCCGACTGCACTTTTTCCGTCAGACACTGGACACTGCTCCCGGCTCTGGTCACTGCTTTAATCCTTGGCGATAGGCTCATTCACCCAGCAGACGCTCGATACCTTTCTCTGTCCGATAAAGGTGCCGAATATTGCTTCATCAATCTCCGTGGCCAGCTACGTGGAAGCAAGTGACATTCTCTTCAACGGTGCCAGCGTTCCAACGCTTGTCCTCGACTATGAACTGAAGGCTGTCATCATCAGTGGACTAAATGGTTCTTGTCGGCAACCACAAATGTAAATTCGATTGTCCGACAGGGAGTTGCACATTCTCGTCGCATCCAAACGGAACCTACTTGTCTTTGGGATACTGCAGCACCTGCTCGGACACATCATCTCGGATTAGAGAGATCACAACTCATCTTGGGACTTTAACACAACTGTCGATTACTCACCCGGCCTCAGTGGCAATCTCAGTTTGACTGACGACTGGATGGCTTCAAAAGCAACCGACCTGCAAGACCATTTCTACTACACTTGCTGACTTATACGTACCACGCTTGCAAAGTGAATAGGCTGGGTCACGAGGGTAAATCCTCCTACCAGTGTGACACTACTCATGGTCTTCCACCTACCAAGAAACTCGAGCCTTTTAGCCGTAACATGCAGCATCATGGCGCCTTGCTTGCGAAACTATGCCGGCTCTGTTTCGGGCGGCAAGCTTGCAGAACGGCTAATATCCAGCATTCCTGTCAACATCAGTGGCCCCTTGGATCGCCCCTACATGGCACTCAAGTCACCATGTTCGGTTGATCGCCAGCCCTACGATGTCAACAAGTTTTCCTCGGTGCCCAGAGTACGAGGACGTAATTTCCCCTAGGTCATCCACGGGAACGAAGACGTCACGGTGCCACTCGACTGCGTTTATAGCATAGAGAGAGGTTTTTTCGAGGCCATTCATGAACAAATGCGCCGCGAGCTCAATGGAGCATGTCGTGCTTTCATGGCCAGATCGGGTGTCAAGAACACTGTTTAGTGTCCTGACGATACTTGGCTCAAGACGGGTCTATAAAAGTTGGGGAATGCCACCGTCGAGTCCATCAGTGATATCATGAACAGCAGAGCAGAAGCGATAACCAACCGTTCGAGGAACATGGCTAAGAGCGCATACCTTAGTGGCCCAAGAGTGGTTACTGGGCAGACTATGCAAATGCCAGTGTGTACACACGTCACCTGGATTCGGATAGCGCTGTCTGCAACGCTGACGACCATGACCCTCGTGATTCTGGCAGCGGTAGTTGTGCAGACCTGGCGGGATCGAGCAAGCAGCCAATCTGGAAGTCCTCCACCCTACCGCCAGTATTCCACGGCTTAAGCCACATACATGAGCCCAAGGACCAGACGGACTTGAAATTTGTCGACCAAATGCAGAAAGCAGCTGAGCAGATCGAGGACCGGCTTGGTCCAGGGAGGTGGAGTTGACGGCGGTATCAGTTGACAAGAAGGGTACTTGAGTCCGAACGGAAGAAGCATGTCTGTGGAATCTTTGACGTTCGTTCACGGGGCTCAATCTTGATCGTGCTCCAGACTCATCTACTTCAATTCATCATAGTGACCGAGACAATGGGCTGATAGCTCGGGACTCAAGGGTCCTCAGGGTGTTGGTCTCGGCAGCGACAACTTGCGTTGCTTGCCAACTACAGATTACGAAAGGGGATTTAAGGCTTTCAGAGGTTTCCCAGCAACCAGCTTCTTCAATAAATGAACTTCTCTAAAGACAACTGCGCACGATACGGTCCTTCGCACCACGTCAGTGGGCTTTGCTCGTCACACAAGCTAAAATCCCACCCGAACTACCAACCGACTCCTCAAAGACTAAATTTGACTCGCAATATCACTTTCGCTTGCCCGGCTTCAGCCAAAAACACCCATCACGTCTTCAGCAGAAGCAAAACGCTGAAGACACGCGTAATCTGCAAAAATGAAAAACATACAACACCAGGTATTCGCTGGTCGTCACCGACCCAACTACTAATCCGGCCCTCACTGGCTTATCTATGGGAGAGCGGACGGGATCCCGAGTTCTCCAGTGGGTATGGTCGTATGTACCAGATCTCACCACTAAGCTGCCCATATCGTGCTTCTGCAGGCAAGCTTTAGCAA